ACACACACCATACCCTTTGGTTTGTGGCGTACAAAATTTGTGGAAAATTGACGTCCAACGGCGGACATCCCGCAAACTGGACAGAATGGAGGCTGTCGGCCGAGGATGAACTATGAACAATTTATGTGATTGTTTTAGCCGTCACTCCCTCCATAAATCCAAATATATATGCATATGGATCACTCTCTGCATGGCCAAATAATGCGCCGTAAGGTCCGGAAGTTTACGCTCAATTTAGTTGGCAAAAAAAAAAAATGATATGGATATACTCGCCATATATACTGGCTTTCAACTGCTGCAGCCGGGCAAAGCAAATAAAGTGCAAACACAACAAAAATATTTATTTAGTTTCGATGGGCAAAAGGGTGTGAGGAGGAGTAGGTGTGCGCCTGCATATCGTCCATTACTCGTCCAATATTTGCCTTAAATATTTTGAATTCAAATATATGCATATATTAAAAATGGTCAGAAAAAAAAGATGGTGAATTATTTTGTTAACCTAAATATGGCAGCCGCCAAAGGGAAAGAATATACAAGTTTAAAGTGAAATTTAAAGGTAGGAAATTTAAGGGAAAAATGGAAGAAATAGGACTGCGAGTCTGTCTCTGTCTTACTTTACTGTCTTGGTTTTTTTTTTGTTTAATTCCCAAATAAATCTATTTGTTAAATCCTTTATTTACCTTACACATATATCTTTATTCCTTTTCTGATAATTTAATATCAGTGCCTGCCACGGATTGAACCCAAGACCTTAAATGGTTAGCTCTTTAATGTAGTTTTTAGTACCGAAATCCACATAAAGAAGCGACGCACACAACGCTTTTACGATTGCCTGGTAATGTGGCAAGTGATTGGCCACCTCTCCGTCGTCTCTGTCCTCTGGGGAAATCCCCAGGATGTTGGCAATTGAATCGCCCGCGGCGAGAACTCCCGACTATGCCATTCCCGGTTTCCCCATCCGTTTCATTTCGGTTCCGTTTCGTTTCGTTTCGTTTCAGAAGAGACAAATTGCTCATGCCCCGCATCACTTTACTTCCGAGCTGTTGATGGATTTGTCACTTTATGACACTGCACTGTAAAAAAAAAGGATTTTTGAAGATTTTCAGCTGAGTCAAATGGATATATTTCCTTACATAAAGAAGTATATTTTTGTGTTATTCAGAAATATATATTGAATAATTCCACTTAAAGTTATACCATTAATAAGAATTTTATAATTTAAATTTCTATTCATAAAAGTGTGACCATTTTCTTGGTAATAACCCCCTTAGGGATAATAATAATCCCTTTTCTAAAAATCAAACAATCAACAAAATCGACAAAATGTTTTTCAGGATTATTTAATATTGTTTTTTGTTTGATTTTTATTTTTCCCTTTTTATTTTCACTTTTTTTGCAGTGGATTTCTTACAGGCATATTGCCAGCGCCGCATTGCGCTTTTTCCCCATACAATTTGCAAGGCAACAAGAATCTCTAAGAGCTTTCCTCGGGCGGCCCTTGGGCGAAAAATGCACTCTGCGATCTGACATCGTAATGAGATCGAAGTGTGGAGACAGGACGTGTCAGGACAGGGTCAAGAAAAGGAGTATTAAGACAAGGAAGTTAGAGAGACCTTATCTTAAGCCTAATTTATATTTTTTTTTAATTAACTTTTGTATATTTATATATGTGATTTACTTAAGAAAGTAAACATTAAAGAAATTCATTAAATTAAACAAGAACTTAATTTTAAAGTGACCATTCAATCATTAAAATATTTTTCTATATTTAAGAAAAATCGCCTTTAAACTGAGAACATTTATCTAAAATTAAGGTTTCCATGAATTTAAGGCAAAGCTCCATAAAAACAAGACAAGCCTTAAGAAATACAATTTTATATGGTTTTAAAACCTAACGTAAAATTGCGTCAAAAAATCTGACATATGTGAGCTTATAATTCCCAACTGGTTCTAACATCTATGGAATGAAGTGACGGCTACCGGCTGCCGGCCTTATATACATATATAAAGTGTATACATTTTTGTAATATTACATGTACATGTGCTATTTAATATGTGCTACAAAATATATGCATAACACAACAAAAAATAAATAAATAAAATATAATATAATAAATTGGAATAAACTTTTGCAAACAAAAACAAAATTGGCAAATTCGAGCGAAAACTGTGGCTCAGTATCAGTAAATCTGTTAGATTGGCGACCCTTAAATCCTTTTAAAACCCAATCCCGGCCAGAGCTCTCCCTCTCCCAGTGCCGTTTTTGCGACCGCCAAGCGCTAAGGAATGCGAACGGATACAAATGGGCCAGAGTCAGTTCACAAAGCCACGGGGATGCCGAAAAAGCGCATCAGAAGTGGCGAGGTGTGTGCATACAAAGGCTGGGTATAAAGGGGGCTAACAGCAGGCTATATCAGCGATTGATTAAGCCACTGCAAGGGCTGTCTTTCAGCGACTGTATGTATGGATGTATGTATGTATTTATGTGGACCCAGTTGAAGAGCTCGTTGAATGATGGGACATTGCATATGACAGAAGGGACTCCCAGTGGGGAGGGGGTAGGGTTATGGAGAGTGGTATCCATGGTACAGCAGGGCACAAGGATGGGGATACCCGAGGACCAGGGAAAACTGAAACGCTTGGCTAGCTGTGACGCGCCCATTAGAACTCTGAAGTGATGACAGGACAAGGTTCCAGCTAACTTCTGACTTAGCAGGCTCAACAACTGATCTCCCGAAAGGCACAGCGAAAAAAAATTAGAATTCAAACTACAATTTAAGGGTATTTATTTTGAATATAACGTAGAATATCTTTTTATTTTCCTACACAAAACAAAAAAATTCTTTGAAAACAGGGGTACCAAGGATCTCGGCAACAAGTAAGACCATAGCAAATTCTTCCCAAAATTTATGCTGGCAAATCTCACACATGTGTGTATATAATTCCCAACTGGTTCTAACATCCCTGGGATAAAGTGCCGGTTGCCGGAATAAGATTTTAGAATAATTATTATCCTTTCATTCTTAAATTCCCTGCAAATGTTGGAATTTCATTCAGTGTATGTCTCATCTACTATTCTTTGTAGCTAACCATTCACTCTGTTAGTCAGTCAGCCGGGTTTATGTGTGTTGCGTTGACATGATGCAGGAAAAAATGATTGGCTTGGCTGCTGGATGGATGGAAGCCCAGGCAGGCACTCCACGGATTGAGTGTGTTTTCGTGTGCGTTGCATCTGTGAGGGATCTCGGGCATTTAAGCCTTTTATGTGTCGCTTTCAATATTAATTAAATGCTTACAAAACCCAGAAAAAAATACAAGCCCCAATGTAACTCTTCCTCCCCTCTATGGACTGGACTTTTTGACCAGTACCATTCCTTGTTGCTGCATCATTCATTAGTTGTTGTCTGGCCGAAAAAGTTCTTTGGAAGCCAACTCTACTCCTGCTGCTGCTGCTGTTGCTGCAAGTTTCGCTTCCCAGGGGCTCATGTAAATCAGAAGTTTGCAGAGGGTATTATTGGTGGTGGTATGTAGTAATGATTGTGTGCCGGATTTCCACAGCTGCAACGTGCTCGGTTACTCTGAAAATTATTATGCGGTCTTAAGCAGTAAGCTAAACACAAACTTTCAAAGGGATTAACATATTTTACAACATAAAATTCTATATATAATTTTGTGTAATTAAAAAAAATTTGTGTTTGCTGTACAAAAGAAGAAAAGAATACATACATTATAATTTATAAATATATGTATTGTAAGAGTACTGAACGGTATATTTAATTATGCTTTTAAACAACAATTGTTTAGATTCCAAGTTTATAGGACATTTTTACAATTACTCAAGTCTTTTGAACATACGCTGCGTATGAGTAATATTTGATGCGTATGAGTAATTTTTGTTGCGTATGAGTAATATTTTGATAATGCAAAATTGAAACAATTTTTATATATTTATTAAAATAAAACAGAACACAATCAAATACAATATTTCCATAGATATTAAAGCTATTAAAAACTCAACGATATCCTATAAGCCCCTCGAAATACTTCCTCACCAAAAGGAAATTTCCTCGCCTTAATGCACAACAGCTCCATATAATTACCTACAAAACCGAGCTGATAAACCCATTCTGGTTTAATATTCAATTTCAATTTCGTCCCGGACCCACGGCAATCAAGACATCAGAATTTCATACTTCTCGACCCACCACCCACTTGAACAAAAAAAATGGAATAAATGGAAAATAATGAAACTGCTGACAGGAGCACAAATGGTTCACGAAAATATCAAACACAAGACCATTTGCCAAGGAAAAAAAAGGAAGAAAAGAATGAATAAAGGGATTCCCCTTCAACACCTCCAAAGAAGTTGCCCAACAAAAAAATGAAGAAAATAAATAAAAAAGGACAAGACAATGGGAGCCTCTGCTTCCTTTGAGTTTGGTTGGGCGTGTGACAGATACAGCCATTTTAACTTTACAATCTCTTCAAATTAAATTGACCCACGTCACATTTGGTTGAGGAGCCAAGGGGGTAGCGGCTTGAGCGGAAGGAAGGAAGGAAGGAATGAAGGTCTCCTTCCTCCTGTCTAGGCTGTCTGTCCCTCACATGTCATTTTTTTTCCTCCTTCCCTTGAAACGGAAAATAAAGGAAAACGAATAAAGGATTAGTAGGACATTCCTACACCCTCAATGCCGCCCCATTTGATTGCAGTAAGCATTTTCTGATAGTTGTTAGACATCTGGGGGCGATTTGGACGATTTGGTAATAAAGCCAAGTATCGATTGGGGAATATGTCCTAAAGAAATCAATTCGAATGGGTTTTAAAAGAGATAATTAAGAATATTTTTGGTCTTACTTGAATTTATTATACCTTAAAAATATCTTTAAATCCATTTAATTTTCCTTATTAATTATTTAAAGCCATTTCTTATTAACTTGTTTTCGTTTCGAAATCTCGACAGCCTTGAATCATTCTGTCAAATTCAAGTTCCAACTGTCAAGAAGTGTGCCCTAAAAATTTCAGTTGCTTCAGACCCGACCCCTACAGCGGTCGTATTTTGGATTGGTAAAAATTTAAGAAAAACAAAAATTTGGTTGTGAAAAATTCCTAAAGTGGGTAAGGACAAACCAAAATATTTAACAACAAAATAAAAAAAAGTTATCGTTATTTCCTCTGCAGGTACAGTGCCGTCAACATGTCGGCGTTGCGCCTGGTGGTGCCTCGCATGCCGCCATCCTATGTCGCCTGGAAGATGGGACGTCGCTTCGCCAGCGGCGGCGGCGATGGCGTCCGTCTCATGGTCGGCGATCGCGAGGTAGTGGGTTACGGCATCAACGGTCGGCCCATCTACTTTGACAGGTCAGACTTCCCGTTTCCGGCCATTCGGTATCGCACAGTGACGCCAGAGGTGTGCGCACTCCGTGAGAAAGAGCTAGGCGACTGGAAGACGCTTTCGATTGAGGATAAGAAGCAGCTGTATCGGCATAGCTTCTGTCAAACGTTCGCAGAGTTCCAGTATTTCTCGCCCGACTGGAAGCTAGCATTGGGCCTGCCCCTGTGGTTGCTGGCTATTGCCTGTGGCATAACAGTGTTCATGAAGACCACAGTATACAAATATACGCCGGATACTTTAGAGGAGGATCGGCAGTCGGCGCAGCTACGCAGGATGATCCATCTACAGATGAACCCGGTCACTGGAGTGTCTTCCCAGTGGTGCTACAACACCAACAAGTGGAAGTAATACTCGTTTGTTGGTGGCTAACTCTCAGATCCTTAATTGAATTGCCGTATATAAATTAATATTTTTTTTTTTAACAAATATGACCACATGTAACACTACACCAACAATCCCTCAACAACATCAACAATGATTCAACAATTGTTCATCACAACACACCAACACTATAGTTACGATATTTACAATAATTTTATGATACAAACACGCGATTGCAGTCCCCATCAACCAGCCTTTCCTCAACCTAAACTGGCAAACTCGTCGAATTTCTTCATACATCCCCAATACCACAAGACTCACAGAAAAAAAAAAAACATGCAGAAATTGAAATTGATCTATTTAGGATGCCCTCGACAGAAAACCTTGCAATTACATATGGAATTAATGCATTTACATTTACAATTACAATTGCACGTTTTCAATACATATACACTACACAACACTCTTTTAATGTTATGTAAAAATAAGACTCTCACACCGATTGCTAATGCCCTGTTTTAATATGTTTAAATACATTGCAAAGCGTTTGATAAATGCATCATTCGAAAAAAACAGATTAGAGTTTATTTTTAACTTGACATTAAGATTCGATGCCCCTTCTATGTTATTTATAGCAACGATAATATTACCAGGTAACCCCCAATTTCACCCATTGAAGACTCATTTGAGTTAAAAATGCGCTTTATTGCAATCTTGAATTGAGATTTGTTTGTTTTCTTTAATACATCTGAATCGGCTGCATGCGGTGTCATGTCGCTGACTGTACTTTGGATGTGTTTTAATGTAAAGGTGGTCTCGTTTTTTAGTATGTATGTTTATGTATAGTGGCATGTATGTATGTAAATACTAACATTAGTTTTCTTTTTCTTCTTTGTTGTATGAATTCTCTTCTCTGTTTTTCAAAATTTGTGTTTCATCATCATGGTGCATCACATGCATGGAGTACAGTAGTCAATGCCTAAATGGTCGAACAAAGCTCAAAGCTCCTTCAAAACTAGGTTTTAAGTTGGAAAAGGGTATATGTGTGTTTAAGTACAGCCAATATCTTGGGAGAAACACTGGGAACTGAAGATCGAAACAAATATTCAGCAATTTCAAATGTATTCGCATTGTTTCTCTTGTTGTTTAGCTTGGATTTGATTTAAATTTTTGCTTTTTATTTGTTTTTTATTTATTATTATTTTTTTTTTTTTTGTATTTTTGTTTAGTTTATTGAACCTGGTTGTATTTTTTGTTGTTTCTTGTTTCTCGTTAATTTTAATTTTTATTTTAATGCTACCACAAAATATACATATACAGATATATATATATATTCCTCAGATACATTTATATAACTACTTAGAGAACATCATTTAACTTGAATAGTTCTTGGCAGTTATTATTTGCATATACATATTTTCATAATCCGTTTTGCTTTAAAAATATGACGTTGCGTTCTTTTCATTTCCGCTTGCCTTCGCTCCTTCGATTTGATTAATGTACGATATTTGCGACATAAATACGCATTCCTCTTACATACATAAAATATACATACATATATGTATGTATATATGTATCTATGCACATTTACATATCTATATTTATATTTTGTATCCTCTTAAATTTGGGCATATAATATGCTTGTATTTTATATAATTTCTTTCATTTTCCAAACCCTTCCCCACCTCTGACAGGAGTATATTTCCGGGTTCCACTGGGTCCCACTCCTCCTCCTCCTCCTCCTTCTCGCTTTATACATTCGACAAAAATTGTATTTTTTTTTAAGTTTATCTCGCTTTTTGGGTTTTGTGTGTGTTGTTTCCTTGTTTGTTTCAAGCTAAATTGAATTAAATAATTAATTTTAATTATTTTATTAAATAACTACTACGTTGGAAATGAGTAAATGTGTAATTGTATTTTGTTTTCTGATTTTCCTGATTTTTTGATTTCGCATGCCTTTTGTGTGTGTGAGTGTGTGTTTCAAATGGTTTTCCTGCTGCTGTTTGTTGCTGCTGTTGTTGTTGTTGTTATTATTATTAATTAATATTTTTGTTGCTAAACATTTCTCTTGTTTATTTGGCAGTGCAAGTTTTGTATTTTGTTTTTGTTTGTGTGTTCGTGTTTGTTTTTTTAATCGAAATCATCAAATTAAGGCAAACTGCACAGAGAGTACACATAATTGAATCAACTTGCAACAACGTAAAATAGGTAAAGGAAAACAAAGTCTGTAATGGAGTTGAGATTGAGACTGCAATTGAAATGAAAGTGTGGAAATCCTATCAAGCGTCCAGCGCAGAGATCCTTTTTCCAAGCCCAATCCAGCTGTGTATTGTGTGTGGTGTGTGGTGTGTTTGTGGATCGTATGTATTATTTTCTGAATGTCTGATTGGGTTTTTTTTTGTTCTTTGCGATACGATACGAGTTTTGCACTATATAATAGCATATATACTATATTGTTGTGTACCCTAAAACTCGATCCCTCTGCTGTTTCTGTTTCTGCTTGCGTGTCCGTGTCCGTAATCCGATCCACTCTTCGCTTCGTCGCCAGACTTTAGCCATTTTGGGTAACAACACTCTTATGTCTTATGCCATGCCATGTGTGTGTCTCTTGTTGTGTGTGAATTCGCTGCTTTTCCCACTGCTGCTGCTGCTGCTGCTGATGCTTCTGATGAATGCTGAATGCTGATCCCATGCCATCGCTTTGGTCCTTCAGTCCCAGCCATTCTCCTTGATCATGTGCGCCAGCTCAATGATAAACTTGCCCTCCTTGTACTTTTGACTGGACTCGTAGGCGTGCTCATACTTCCAGCCCAGCGGCGTCTTGCAGCACTCACAGTATATATCGGCCACCGCATGGAGGCCAGTGAGCAGAACCCGCTCCTCCGTCTGGCCGCAGGCCACGTTCACCACCGAGTTGAACAGATATGCCGGCCCCTGGCTGCCCTGGAACGATTTCGAGATGAGCTCGTCGTGGGAGGCGAGGTGGGCACGGCAGTGAACACATGAGTATGTCCGGTTCGTGGACGGTAGATAGGCTTGAAACGTCTTCACCATTGTGGCGTGTATCGTGTTAGGAGCTTCGAGCCTCTATTTAAGAAGTCTATAGACTGCACAATCTCTTTGGGGTCGTCTGTCCTTCAAGGGGGTCCTTTTTTCTGAAAGTAAAGAACACGCACTTTAGTTTTTTATTCACTTAGCACAGACCGAGTTTCTAACTTGATTTAGGCCTTTAACAAAATATTATTCAAAAAGGTATTTTACAAGTTTAAATTCGACACCAATTTGACAGAAAAAACATCAAATTAAAGCAGTCTTTGTTGAATAAGAAATAATCTATGAATTCTCAGCTGTTTTTTTAATTGTTCTTCTTTCTTCATGGCTAATTGGTGTAAATACCTAAAAACAACTACTAGAGTTAGACACTGGCTTTAATTAAGAAATATTTCCTTACCTTGACCAGGACCACAACACTATCTCTTGCTGTTTCCTTTTATCTGTGCTATATCTTTCGATCCAGCGGGCGTTGTTAACTGCTCTGTGCTCGCTCCACCGCAAGGGGGCCGGTAACGGGGGCGGTGGATAGTGCGACCGCGGTTGCTGTCATTGAACGATTATTGTTACAAATCCATTCGCTATGCCACTGTAAACTCTGCGATGCCGCTGCTGCGATTCCAATCCCGATTCCAGATTCCCAATTCTGCTTTCGATTCCGATCACAAGCCCCGGCTATATCAGATTTCCGGCTGCCAAAGAAAACTGCAAGTAAAAGCGAATTAATAATGCATGTGTTTGTTGCCTTTTGCCGTTGTGTCTGTTATGCAAAGCAGAATTCGAGCCAAGGAGAAACAGCCAGAAAAGCAGGGTCAGAGCCGCTGCCAGAGGGAAAGTGTGCTGGAAGGGGTACAGCTATGGTGGAAGGTGGGGGAAATGGGCAAAGCCGTGGCTATAGATATGGCCAGGGCATTTCCATTATTGATTTCCATTTGCAATCTCTTTGCCTTTGGTAATTCCAGTGAGCAACCCCCGCACCAACACCAAAGCAAAAGCACGCTGGCATATCACACCATCTCACATCACCACCCAACCCCATGGATAATTGCCGCCCCGAAACCAAACAAAGCCGGCAAAAATATAGTCCAGTTTAGCAGATCAAAACGATATTTTCAGACAGTGCTCTAATAATCATTTTCGATCCCCAAATTATATGTAACTCTCAGTGTAATCTTAGTAAGAAGCTATAAAAACTGTGATTTATATGCAAAAGTACCCCCGTAGAAGCTCAAAGGGGCTTGGTCAAATTGTTAAGAATGCAGTTGTTTGAACCAAACCCACATACAATATGCCCTTAACCCAAATACTGGATATCAAGAGTGTGCAAAAATACAGCTTTCAGGTTGCACATGTTTTTGACAAACTTGCTGCATTTGACAGATGGAGATTTTTGAGAAAAGAGCCATGATTAATGGGCATAGCCATGCTTGGCAGTAAACAACGAATCATCGCCCCCAATCAAGTGAGTAACGCTCTAAATCTTTGGAAATAAGCCCAGGTAGGGAACCATTAAATGGGACAAATCTGTGGCTACCATGAGTGGATGCGCATGAATAATGCCAATTGGCATCTTTTATTCATTCCAACTGGGCTCCGATACGATGGTTGCTCCCCTTTGTTCCTGCCAGCAACTCCTAGCAAAGCCGCTAATTGTTATTCAGTGACCGCCCCGATGATGTTTACCCATTGATAAGCGGATAGTAGGCTTGGTATGAGGAAGTCGCCACCACAGACAATGACCGATTAAACCTATTCCCCCCGTATTCCTCTCGTGCCTTAGTGAAGTGGAAGTCCCGATATGAGTGGGCGATACGGTTGAGTGTTGCAAATTGGACAGACTTTCATGGAATCAATAAAAGGCATAAACATATCATCAAATTGTCTCAAAATCAAGGTTTATTTCCCTGTAAAACCGAAAGAATTCTACTTCCATGTTGTTTTGAACATATAGTATTTAAAAAGGTTATCAAAATAATAAAATTTGATTCTGTGAGGGGTATTACTGCTAATGCTTTTGCTTTGAAATATTTACAATATTTTTTTATGTTATTTCAACAAATACATATGACCATAAAAATATGAGCGTCATAAGATGTTATGGTTTTAAAATGTGTTTGTTTTTGTAATTAGTTAGTAATAAATATTACGGAATATTAATAGGACTAGAAAATAAGGATACGTATGTAAATATGTATATATGTAATACTATAATTTTGGCCGCAGCTGTTCTGGCTCATATGTAAAGATACACAACTGTGCCCTCTGCTGTACTCTGTTGTCCTGTCTTCTCTTTGTTTTCAACAAGTAGAAGGAACTGACGGGAATTCTTCTGTTTCGCATTTGGATTAAAAGGTATAATGCAATCTGCAATCCGCCTTATAATTAAATCCTCGTTTCACCCTTGGGCCCCCCCTTTTGTTTCTCCAGTCTTCCTCCTACACGCTCCTTCATCGGCGCCTTCTGTTCAATCTCCAAAATGCAAATTGGCTGCTGACGCCGACGTCGCAGCCGCCATCGCTGCCTGCACCGGCGATTTGAACAAAGAAACCAAAGGAGCGGGCAGAACAAAGAGCAGAGAGAGAGAGAGAAAGAGAGTGAGAGCGGAGGAGCAGGGCAAGAGAACGTCAGAGTGCATAAAAGGGAAATGCACTTGGACCCAGACAACAAAGAAATTCGCGTTCCCCGCCTCTTCTAACGGTTAATTAGCATTTCAATTAGGAAATCTGTCTGCCAAACTTAATTAATTAAACTATATCATCGCAGTAGCACCAGCAACAGGAGGAACATCAAACACACACCAACGAGTTCACTGAACCACAAAAAAAAACAATAAAAACACAAGATAAAGTAAAGAGAGAAGGGGAAGAAGAAAGAAATCCGTCAAAAGTTCTTTGTCACTCACTTGGCGATTTCTTTGGCGCTTCTTTGCAATTATTCTGAAAATTGATTTCTATTAATTTTTTGCACCTCCGTTTAACTTTGTTTACTTTTTTTTCGTTCGCTCTTTCTGTTTTGGGTTCTTCTTCTTGGCACGACGAAACGAAAAAGCAAAGCGCGCAGCGCGAACTGCGAAAAGCGAATGACGCTGCTTTGGTAAAAAAAAATCGCAGGCCAGCAGCTGGCTGAGACAGCGACGCCGGCGTCGACTGCGATGGCGACGCAGCAGGCGGCAGCGACGTCGGCGATAAAGGACAAATATGAAATGGGAAGAGTAAAAAGACTAACAAATAGAACACCATGTGCCACGACCATCCAAATACCCTACATTTTAGCGGTTGTATGTGAAACCTGGCCGATATTAACTTAAATCTATTTGCGTTTGAAATGCATACATATGTACATTCCTTTGCATTCAAGCGAGTAACGGGTATTAAAAGCTTGCAAAAACCACAATTGGAGCAACGCATAATGCGTGCTCAATGAACAAACAAATTACGTGCAATTTACAGTTGCAATCAAGACGCCGCCGCTGCCGCTGCAAAGAATAAAAAGCTATAAAAAAGCAGCGCTGGAAAAGGTAAGTGTGCAGGAAAGCAAAATGCAATTGCCGTTAGAAATATTAACCATATTCTTGTTATTGCACTCTGTCCCGTTCCTCCTCTCTAACCCGCACCCTCCCACCCTGTCACTCTGTCGCCTACCAAAGGCTTTAAATGTGGGCAGGCAACAAAGTGGCTTTTGCCATTTTCTTACCTCTTTTTTTATTACAACTTAATGTGCGTGGGAACAGTGCTGGCCAAAAAAGTGGGGATAATCCATTTTGTTACAAAAAAAAAAATTAACAATTTTTATTAATTACAAAAATACATTTTCAGTTGTTAATTTATTATTTTACCAATTAAATAACTAGAAAAAAAAAACCTTTGAAACATAATTAAAACGTGTCATCATCTTATAATTCACTATTTAAAGAAGTCTACCCATTCTAGTGCATTAAGACCGATTAAAACAGAGAAACATCTGCTGTATAGAAACGTTTGTATTAATACCTATTTTTCTAACCCCCAGTGTGGTGGTAAAAACAAAAACAGCAACAAGCGACAGCCGTGTAACGGCAAGTCTGCTCATGTATCGCGATTGTATGTCAGCGTCGGCAGCGACGCCAACTGTGGCGGCGGCAGAGGCAGCCAAGTGACGGGCGTCGCGTGTTGAAAGCAACAACTTTAACGGTACTGCGCTTGCAACAGATCGAAATTAAAAAAGGAAAAAAAGCAAAGGCTATCTGCAATATCAGCTGTTTGTGCCGTGGTTTCTGTGGCTTGACAAATACGCATTAATTGCCATAATTTCTTGAGGGCAGGCCGCAATCTCTGAACTTCATTTGCGGCTGATTATTGTTTATTGTTTACTGTTTATTCTTCGTCTACGGCGAAGAACTTTTGCGTCGTTCTCTCTGGGTTTCCTTTTCTGTTTTTATTCTCATTTGGTCAAAATGCAAGGTATTCGAAAGGGTAGATTTGTTGCAACTTCAACACAGTAAAGGTAATTTTAAATCATTAGAATTCTTAAAACAAAAACCAAAAAAATAAAAACTCAACAAAAGGCAAATTAGGGACCTTAAAATACATTTGTATATTATCGCAGGGTATACATTGTTCTTGTTTACTTTAAGTAACACTTTAAACGCAAAAAAACAAACAAAGCAAAGGCAATGGTAGAAGCAAATGAAGAAGCAGCAACAAAAGATGAGGTCGAAGAAGAAGAGAAACGCGATGGTAGCAACGACCGAACAGTGACGCCCCCTGCACCCACTCTCCTTTCACCACGTCCCACAGATGTTTTTGTTATTGGTTTTGGCTGCCATTTGCTTTAGCTGCTGCCATTTCGCTCGCTGCTTGGGGTCAACAGCGTCAATGGCGTCGCTCTTAAATAACTTCTCTCCGTTGTTCTTATCCCTTACTGTTGTTCACCCTCTACCACTCTCTTTTCTGGGGGGTGAGAGAGATAAAATGCTGATTAATGGAGGGGGAGAAAGAAGAAAGGGGAAAACAAAACAAAACAAATCCAACAGCTGATGCGATAGAAAGAGAGAGAGATCGCTGAACTAAGCTTTGGATCAGTCGGATATATATAAATATATGTGTATATGTTGATTTATATATAAAGAAACCGCATTCGATTGTGGTCGCTTTTCTTATCAGAAAATAACATGAAATTTATTGCGTTGCGACGTCGCTGCTGGTCAGTGCGACGCTGGCAGAGGCAGACAAAAAGAGAGAGCGAGAGAGAGGGCGAGAGGTAAACAAAAATACACAACAGCTGCGGCAGCTCACACACATACACACACATGCGCTGAAACAAACAAAAACTGCGAAAATCCTGCAGACCCCCCTTCCGACCCATCAAATTTTTCAACAACAAAGTCAGCTGTGTGTGTGGTAGAAGGGAAGAGATGAAAACACAGTGAGATCGAAAATCAGAGGAATGAACTTTAAAACAAGCTCTCTCTCCCTCTCTTTTTTCGGAGTTTTACTAACAAATGGCGCAATTTATTTAACAGCTGAAAAAGAAGAAAACACAAGCACGTACATAGACACAAAAACACACACACACCGCCATATAGGCAGGCAAAACAAAATAGAAAACAAGAAGAGAAGAAAAACAGCTATCTATACATATAAACAGTTTTCTGATGTTTTTGCAACTGCGTTTGGACTGCTGGTGCGAAAGAAGAGGGGGCGATTAACTGACAAACGGCGAACTTAGGTAAATGTTGCAAACACTTACGTTCTGTGTGGGTTGTTTGTTTGTTTGTTGTCTTGTTTCAAACATTAGAACGAACACCAACTAGCGCACGACCACACACACACACAGACACAGAAACGGGCAAAAAAAATCAGGCAGCGACTTGCCAAAATGGCATTCTTCTATTCTCTTCACTTGTATAATAATGCAGCAGCAGTTTGTTTCTGCATTGTTTCGTTTCTATTTCCACACATTTGTTGTTGTGTTGTACTTTTCGTTTGTGTGACCAGACGCAGAGTCAAAAATGCCACAAAATGGTGTCTGTGGTCGGAGCTTTTTGAAAAGTGCGCGCGAAATATAATAAGCTATATATTATTCTCTAGAAAAAATACTGTTGTCTAAGTAAAATAAATCCGCTCGTTATGCCATTTATTATTTTTAACCATTCAATGAACTTTAAGTGTTAAGTGCATCAAAATGATATTGTTTATATTTAATTAAACATTTTTGTAATATAATTCGAGTCGTCAAGGTGAAGAATTTCAAGTTTCCCTGATATTGACGGATCTTTTGTTTTATACATTTAATTTCCAAAACTAGATAATGGCCAAAACTTGGCAGTTTACGTGAATACCCTGCATAACAGCATTTGACAACCTGGCAACTCTGTCTTGCTGACTGAAAAATGCTGTTGCGACTAAGTTTTTTTTTTTTTTAAGAAGTACCCTTAAAAAGGATTTTTTAGCTGAATAATTATATAAATAAAGTACGTTATATTTTTCTTTGTTTATATTTTTCTGATTAGACGAAAAACATTTGCTTTTTTTAGTATTTTTTTTTCAGCGGTGGATTTATTTTGCAATCAAAGGCGTTGGCATTTTTTGTGTAGTCGTCAGTTGGTCACTCTGATTGGACATTTTTGGCAAAAACAGCGGCAGATCGTTGAAGTTTTCTCGTGTTTCTTTTCGCCATCACTCCAACTAGAAAAAGGTGAACATAAAGGGAAATTGAAGCACTTTACATTGGCTTAACGCACCGAAGAATCCCAGAGCTAATCCCTACCATTTGGCCGGAGAAAAATCAATTGCCAGCCGCTTGCCCGCCACCGCCTTAACCTACAAAGTTACATAATTTGGTTATTTTGTTGTTAAGCTGCTGGATAGCATAAAATTGAAGCTCTAATGGTTACATCTTTTACTCCACCTTGCAGTGCAGGATGTCGTTCGTTAAGAATGCCCGTTTGCTGGCCGCTCGCGGCGCCCGTCTCTCCCAGGCCCGCAACTACTCGGACGAGATGAAGCTGACCTTCGCCGCCGCCAACAAGACCTTTTACGACGCTGCCGTCGTCCGTCAGATCGATGTGCCCTCCTTCTCCGGCTCCTTCGGTATCCTGGCCAAGCACGTGCCCACACTGGGTGAGTCTGTCGGCGGCTGGCGTATTGCCCCGTAGAAATGGTTATATCATAGCGTTTATCAACCATCTCTCTCTTTGCAGCCGTCCTTAAGCCCGGCGTCGTCCAGGTTGTGGAGAACGACGGCAAGCTGACCAAGTACTTTGTGTCCAGCGGCTCGGTGACCGTCAACGATGACTCCTCCGTCCAGGTGCTGGCCGAGGAGGCGCACAAAGTTGAGGACATTGATGTGGCCGAGGCCCGCCAGCTGCTCTCGAAATACCAGTCACAGCTGAGCTCCGCTGGTGACGATAAGGTAGGATTTGGTTTGGGTTTTTAGCGGTAGTTTTAAATTGATAATTAGTTTTATGCTTTTTGTGGGATTTTTTTTAAGTTAAGGCTTCTGTTAATTCTACTTTTTTTATAAATTGATTATTACATTTAGTATATTTTTACCTTAAGGGTTTTATGTTTTAAAAGTTTGGCTTTAATAATTGATAACATGTATATATTTTTCAAGAATTTTAATGTCGGAAAATTCTAATTAGAGTAAACTCTAAGCATTTCATAGATATTACGATTTTAAAGTTGGAAAACCTGCAAAAAAAACCCATATATATTCTTTATAAGCTTATAAATCGTATAAATCCACAGATACCTTTATATATAATAGTTTTAAGCATTTAAATCTTATAATTAATCGCTTATCCTTTTTATCCTTTTACCTTCCAGGCCAAGGCCCAGGCTGCCATTGCCGTGGAGGTCGCCGAGGCGTTAGTCAAGGCCGCCGAATAGACGTAATCACCGCCACCAACAAGAGAAACAATAACACAACAACAACAACAACAATCACAAAACTTGATGCTTTGTGTCTGAAAATATAAATAAAACATAACGATCGATATCCCCCCAAATGCCTGAGCGTTATGAAACAATAAAAAAGCGAATCATAATATGGTATTATCATGACCCGTGATCCGATCCGCCAAAAAGCAAACATCAAACGACGCCTTGTCGCAGTTTTTATTTTTTTCTTTCTTTTTTTCGTGTGTGTGTGTTAAATGTTTAAACATTTGTGAGAAGAGAGAAATGTGCAACTTGGGCAGTGTGGGACCCTCGATATGCTAATACATTATTAGGGCCAAGTCATATTTATTTATTTTGTTTGTATATGGAATGTGTGGAGAGATGAGGAAAGTGATGTATTGATTTTCATTTTTTGCTTGCTTACCCAAACTTTCCTATTGGTAAAAAGTTTTAAAATATAATATTTAAAATAATAATTAGAAAAAGGAAAATTCTAAGCAGGTTTTAATGGATTATTGAGGTGTAGAAAAAAAAAAATTTGTAAATATGATTTTAGATCCTTAAAATTTTCAGGTAACCTTTTATATCTTATCATTATTTTTATATTTTTTTTTGGAAACAAAACTTAGATATGTATATCAAACTTTTTCCTTATCTTTGTCAAAGTATCTTAAGGAACCTTTTATCTTTATATTCATTATTTATATAAATTAATTTAAATATTTTAAAATTTTCGATTATATCGATATTTTCAAGTTAAATGAGATATATTTTTTTCGATATTTAAAATTTCGATGTCCCTATACCCTATTATAAGACTAAGATCTACCAAATGTGATGATAATACGCCAAAAAAGCTACAAGTATAGTTCGTTTAGAAAATCTTTTAAATATTTTAGATATTTCAAATAGTTTTCCTTCAAAAATTAAATTGATTTGCTGTTGAGAACAAAAGAATATGTCAATTTCTAATAGATTTTGTTCAGTAGTCAGTTTTATAATGTTTTTGATAGTGAAAAACCTTTCGAGTCAGTATTTTCACCAAGGTTCACCATTTTCCCTCCATTAAATATTCCATTAAAGTTTTTTTTTTTTTTTTTTTTTTTTTTGGGATTTTTCTATGTGTATATTTTCTAACAAAAAAATGCATGGTAAAAAAAATGTCTTAAATTAAACTCATGGCGTTGTGTAGGAATGGTAATTATGCTCTCTCGATGCAGTTAGCAGGAAGGTACTTCGGAGATGTGTGTGTGTGCATCTGTGGCCTCTCCTGCTTGCTCTCTTTGTGCATGTTTGTGTGTGTTTAGTAGGCAGGTGGGCCGTAGGTCTGGGCAGGGGCATGGCCCACGGGCAGGACCTGCTCCTCTGGGGCAAAGACAGGTGCTGGCGCGGGATGGGGCACGCTCAGGACAGGAGCCGGTGCTGGGGCGGCATACACAGGAGCAGGTGCTGGGGCAGAGTACACGGGAGCCGGGGCTGGTGCAGAGTACACAGGAGCAGGAGCTGGTGCGGAATACACAGGAGCAGGAGCTGGTGCGGAGTATACGGGAGCAGGGGCAGCATAGACTGGAGCCGGGGCAGGAGCAGCATAGACTGGAGCTGGGGCAGGAGCAGCATAGACTGGAGCCGGGGCAGGAGCAGCATAGACTGGAGCCGGGGCAGCGATATCCTGAACAGGGGGCAGGTAAGAGGCCACAGGCGAAGCCACTGGGCCGGGCACATCAATGGGAGCGTAGGCTGGTCCGGCAGCCGGAGCTGAGTGCTCGTGGATCACGCGTACCACTTTGGTGGCACCGGCACCGCCCGAGGAGTAGCCACCCGAGGAGAAACCGCTGTCGTGGCTCTCGTGGACAACCTTGATGACCTGGGAGACGGCGCCGCCCGAAGAGTAGCCGCCACCGCCGCCGCCAATGAAGGCAGGTCCTGGAGCAGGTCCAGAGGCCACATTCACCACCTTGACGATCTGTGGGGCACTCTCGACCAGCGGGGCACTGACCAAGGGAGCAGACTCCTGCAGGACCTTGATCACCTTCACGGAGGAGGGAGCTGGGCCGGCAGGTGGCAGGTAGACGGGTGCAGGAGCGGGTCCATAGCCATGGCCGCCGCCGCTGCTGCCACCGGAGATGACTTTCACCTTGAAGACCTGGGGAGCAGCCTCGTAAGAGTAGCCGCCGCCGCCGCCGGAGGAGTAGCCACCGGCAGAGTAGCCGCCGCCGCTGCCACCGCCCTGCTGGTGGATAACCTTGACCACCTGAACTGGGCCACTGGAACCGTGTCCGCCGTGACCGCCATGGTAGCCACCACCACCGCCGCCGCCGGAGTAACCGCCTCCGTTGCCACCGCCTCCTCCATTGCCGCCAATGCTGATGCCTGCCTTGAGGCCGCCACCGCCGCCACCACCACCGCCGCCACCGCCGCCGCCTCCCAGGAGACCCAGGAAGCCGGCGTTGGCCACAGCGAACAGAGCACACATGCAAACGAAGACCTGGCAAAGGAAATGGAAGGTAAAAGGTAAAGGTTTTTAATTATGGAATTTATAAATAAAAAAAATATTAAAAAAATAGTTTAAATTTGTAAAAAACGGGGTAGTTATTCTAGATTTTTATATACTGTTTTTAAAGTTTTGTTTTTTAACTTTTTTTAGATAAATATAAACTTAAAGGTCTTGTAAAATTTTAAATATATTTATATTTCTTTATTTCACAGAAAATATATTTTATCGTTGTGATTTGTGGTTTTTTTCTTATTATATTTTAAGGACTTTAAGTTTTCCTTGATTTGTTTTTAACTTTGGCACTTTTTATTATAAAAAAAAACACTTTGAACAAATTAAAAAAAAGAGGGAGTTAAACAAAAAGTTTAGTTAAGTTTCCTTTTTCACTTTTCATAAATTTTCACAGGATATTTTGATTTGTTTTTTTTTTGTTTTGTTTGTCGGAGGAGGAGCTCACCTTCATGCTGACCACTAATCCACTTGATGCGATGATACCAATTCCCAAAAAAAAGAACGCCTTGAGTGCCGATGAGCAGCGACTGATGTCCGATCGATCGGAGACCAAGTCTTTTATACGATGTAAACGATCATTGGCGAACAAAAGGCGTTGAATTAACATTTCCAAACCACCCATCATCAAGAGGCTTGGGCAGGGGCAGCAACTTGAGCATCATCTTTGGCTTTCGATTTAATTTTCACCATGGGCGCAGCAGCGTTAGCAGCAGGTCTTACGCTGCATTTCCGAAATTCCGTAAGGGGCTCCCACAATTAGCATGAAAATGAGACGCTCCGATAGTGATAAGCCCACAGCGGCTTTCATATTTTCAGTTTTCGTTTTCGTTTTCGTTTCAGGTTTAGGTTTTCGTTTTCGTTTTCACATACATAGTTTTAGTGGCTGTTTTAGTTTTCATTTTCGTTTTAGGTTTTAGGTTTTATGTCATTTGCATACACGGGCGGCGTTGCCTCACAAGGCGGCCGGCTGTCTGTCATAAACCAAAGCCAAAGCCATAGCCCAACCCAACCCAAGTGCCAACCTCTTCCCAAGGCGGCGGCGGCGGCATCCAGATATTTCAAGGTGAATCGGAATCTGTTGTCAACCGGCGGCCGCTGGCTCATCATCATCATTGATGATGGTCTCTCTTGGCTTTCTGAGATTATGCAAGTTCGGGCGCACCGGTTGTGTCGCATCTTTGAGCCCATGTAAAACGCATTATGTTGGCCCAATAAGCATAAAATCAATTGGCCAACGGGGCGGATCATCGATGAGAGGTAAGAGGCTGATTTGTACCAAAAAAGAAGTATAAAAATAACTTACCTTCTGTTCTTCTTAATATTTAAGAGATTTAGAATTATACTTTATTAATTTATTCGAAGTAATTTAAATATAACACTTTGTAATATAACACTTTCTTGGGATTTTGCTAGATCTTAAGCTCTTTTCATTTTTTAAGTCTTATAACTTATATTTTAAACTCTCTTTAAAACAAGAAAACTTTGTTTAAATAATGTAAAATATCACCATTAAAGTAAAAAAGTACAGTTTACACAAAGATAAAATAAACCAAGTGTTATATTTACAAAGTGTTACATTCAAATTATGGTTTGTTTGTGTTTTTTCTTCGAATTAAAAAGTTAGAAAAAATAATAAACGTTTTTAAATATAATAGTTACACAAATACAAATATTTCAGTTGAAAAAACTCTGTAAAAAAAATATAAATAATAATAAATTTATGAAACAAAATTCTAGAAAAATAATACACACTAAAAATAAATAAAAAATTAAATAAAAATTCCTATTTAATTCAACACTAGTAAGACTTAGTTCCAAAAAATACCTAAAAAAATTAGAATATGTATATTTTCTTGAAACTGTACCCATTACACCTGCCAGAGATCGGAAAACTGGCCATGAGCCAGGTGTGGGAAATTAACAGGTTGCTTCACCTGCACTCTGCACTAATCGTGATCATTATCTTGTCTAGGCATATTATGGGTAGTTAATTGCTCCAAGCAGCGGCTTCCCTTAAAATATTAAGGCACATTTTTATATAAATTTTCCAAGTATATAAAACTAAACATATTTTTCCAGAGTAGGAGGTATATTTTCGATATGATTTCTTCATAAATCATCTCAACTTGACCACATCAAATCAATTATTTCCTTAATTTATTAAGAGCTTAATTTACTCAGTTAAAAGGCAGAGAAAATTATGAAGCGTAAATACGAAAATCTTCAAATACTTTAAATTTATGATCATAAATCAAAGCAAAGTTATTATTATTTTTATTTATTTATTTTATTAGGTTTTTAAGTCCATTGAATCGATCCTAACCAAAGCAAATTGATTATTGCTTGTTTTTAAATAAATGTATTTGTTTTTTATTTAGAATTTAAATTTCAATGAGAGGCATAAAGATGGAGTAGCCCAGCTGCATCCTCAATAAGTCTGAATCGTCCCTTCGAGGGAGCTCCAGAGTTCTCCAGAAAAAAATATTTTGTTTTATATTTTAATTTAGTTTTCTGCTAACAATATTTATTTTTTTGTCACTTCGGTCTGCATTTCCTCATTGGCGTTTATTCAAGCGTTTGCGTATATCATTTTGATTAATATTATTCTTTATTTTTATTTATTTTTTTTCTTAATTTTGCCTTTCTTATATTCAAATTGTTCGTGTAGACTTCTTATTTATTTGTATTTTTTAATATTTTATAAATCCTTGACAACCTCCCAAGGTATCCCATTTTTATAGGAATAGTTAAAAATCTTTCTTTTAATTTGTTCGTTTTATTCAGAGTTTATTTTGCACATTAATAAAAAAAAAGGATCGAAAGCATTGGTGGTTATCCCAAGATCTACTTCTGCTTCAGCCAACCTCCATAGGACTGGATAACGGGAGCATCGTAGGCGGCAGCATGACCGACGCGAACACTGGAGGTCAGCACTGGCACAGAGTCAACAACGGGAACATGACGCACCACTGGCACATGACGGACGACGGGAACGCTGCGGACAATTGGCACGGAGCGAACCACGGGCACAGTGCGGACCACTGGAACAGAGGCTACAGGAGCATAGGATAAGGCAGATCCATGGATCACACTGCTCTGGGCAAGGGCCAAGCAGGCGGCGAACAGGAGGCTGACGATGAAGAACTGAAAAGAAAATTAGACATTAATAAAATAGGATTCCGAGGGGAAAATGTAGAAAATTCTTAAGATTAAATCTCCATTTTCTAAACAATTTTTTGTATTCTATTTAAATTTTCTATTAAAATTAAGCCAAGTTGCTTGCATTTTTAAAATTTTACTGATTTTTTGTGATTTTTTCTTAACAAAAAGTGTTTGTAAATTTAATTTTAATTCTAATATCCACAGATATGATCATTGAAGGAATCAATTACGACACATTCTAGTCTGTATATATTTTTTATGCATAACTGTTAAATGTCAAAGCTTCGGGATAGTTTTTAACAGGCACTTTTCGGTTTCACAAAAAATAATTTAAAAAAAATTGAACTTTCAAGTTGCACTTCAATGTTTAAATCGAATCCTTTGGAGATGCTCACCTTCATGGTGCTTAGATTTCCTTATTTTTTTTAGTTTGTGGTTTTAGCTTGTTGGCCGGATGATTTGTGTTGATCTGTCGGACGTTACGGGTACCTTATATACCGCCGAGAATCGCGAAAGTAGAGCAATAAAATCCAGCCAAAAGAACGTATACGGATACACGATCGACAAGGTGTTTGGAGTGCCATTATTATTGATATTACCTCGCATAGACAGCGTCATAACTTATTCAAGATGCCTTTCAAGCCGGGCCAGAACAATGAGAACTCGTTCCTCCTGCGACAGGTGCCATCACCTGCCAGGTTTCCGCTGCTCCTCCTCTCCGGCCATTGATGAATTCTTGTGCAAATTGATTGTCGTTTCATCGCTTCATAAACGCTGTGGGTTTTTCTCATACTAATATGGTATATACATATATATTTCTTGTATAGTATATGTATGTATATATATTTTGTGTAGTTTGGCTAAACTTTATTTATGAGCCCATTGTCCACGCCCTATTATGCTTTTTGGTTCAGCTTAAAGAAATGCAAATTTATGCAAAATCCAGCAATGCTTCCTCAAAGCAAAAATAGCGCAAAAAAACAAATATTGTTTGACGAAAAATACGTGTTTTTGTCTTTATTTTTTGTCTTTATTTTATATTTATTTATTTTTTTAGGCAAGAAACATTTTTGTAAATGTCATTTGAATTCTGCCCTTTTTTTTTAGATTTTAAGTCTTTTTTTATTAGGTTTTATATTTCAATAGTTAAAAGTTACCTAAACCTACAGGTAGAAGATTTATTTTTACCTTAAATTTAATTATTTATAACGTTTATAATTATAACTTTGATTGTAACGATTTTTTTTAAATTCATTGAAATGTAAAAATCTTTTGTATAAGTATTCATAATGGTAGTTTTACAGCCTTTTTGTTTAAAATATTTGTATTTTGATGTTTAATAATCATTTATGTAAATATATTATTTGTTTTTTTGTTTAACTTTCTCTTTTCTGGAAATATTAAAACTGATTCATGTATAAATAAATCAATTCTTTTTTAAATATTTACTTAAATATTATTACTTGAATTTAAGAAATTTATTCTGCAAGATTTACTATTATTATTATTATATTATTATTATTTATTTTTCAAAGTTCCTTTTCCGCACTGTCCAGCACTGCCTTTGGCCTGCTAACCAACACTGAAACCAAGCCCACGCACAGCTGTTTACATCGCTCCCTCTCGCTCGCACTCTTTTCGCTCGTAATTTTTTGTATGTTTTTTTTTCTGTGCGGCGCTCTTCTTGTGAAAGAAAAAAGAATTGTAAAATAAACGCCTCAATGGCGTTGTAATTAAATTGCAATTGTAAATCACAAAAGGGCGGGTCTGCAAGTGCAAGTGCAACATGTGCGATTGGCGAAACATAAACAAAAGCAGCGAAATCGGAAGCAGCCGCAGCAGCAACAACAACATGGCCTCCACTTCTTGATGTTGACGTCAACAAAGTGAAATTGAAATCCAATCAAAGAAGCCAAGCGAGGAGAGGAGTATTCGAATTGCCTAGCAAGAGCAGCAGCAACGAAGGAGAAGGAGTAGGAGGAGAAGGATAGGGATAAGTCACCACCGGAGAAAGTATCCCAGCAGGAGGATCCTGTGGATCCCATCACCATGTACTCGGAATGGGCCTCGCTATCCGCCCAGATCACGGCCAATAGCTGTGGGGCTCAGTGCTTCAGTGTGCTCAACAAGTTTCCCGCCTCCGCCGGCCGCGAGGTGGTCGTCTCTGTGGTCAAGCAGCTGGGCACCAATCTGGGAATCACACAGAATGCCGAGCCCAGTCACCTGGTTAAAGATGAGGAGGTGGGTGCTCCTTAAAATGGGGATTATCATAACACCAACTTTAATTTCCATTAATTCCAGGTGAAATGGTGCATGGACGTCATTTGCTTTGGCCTATCGCTGCCCCTGCAGGAGCACGAGACCATCAAGGACTGCGTCAATGTCTACTGTGAGTGGCTAACGGCTCTGCATCCGCAGCCGAGGATCAGTGTGCCCAAGCCCATATGCGAGGATGCCAATCTGTATGCCCGCCAGATCATCAATCACTTCCACAACCTGTTTGTGCCGCGGCAGGGCGAGAGTAAGTTCCTCAACTATACCCAAGCCAAAGCCTCCCCCATTAATCCTAAGCTAACCTCTGAAAATTTCAAGTCTTGCCATTTCTATACCAAACCACGCTTGGTAGGTTGCTAGCTCTCGAATTGGAGAAAATATGACTTGAAATCCTGCTCAGATTTCAGGCACAATACATATTTTCTCGCTGGAGAATCCCCTGGAATGCCAGACTAATGCTTAAATAATTCCTAATCCCAGGTGCCGATACCATCAAACGACAGGCGGTTCTATGCCATCGGGTGCTCCGAACCCTCCAGCAGACGGCACAAATCTCTCATTTGATGGACCGACAGACTTGGGACACCCTGCTCCTCTTTCTGCTGGCCATCAATGAGATTCTACTAGCACCGCCCACCGTCAAGGACGATGTGGGTGATCAACTGTGCGAACGGGTGCTTTCCGTGCTTTTTGAGGTCTGGCTGCTGGCCTGCGTCAGGAGTTTTCCCTCGCCATCGATGTGGAAGACGCTGCAGGAATCGTGCGCCATGTGGCGACATCGTGTGGCCCTTGTCGATCAATGGAATCGGGTGAATCTGGCCCTAACCTCGCGCCTCTTGGAGTTTAGCTATGGTCCCGCATTTCCCCAGCTCAAAAATGGTGAGTTTTTGGTTAATATATTAAACTTTTAGAGGCACTTTTCACTTTTGGTGCTTATTTAAATATGTTTGCACTGCTCTAATTCGACATCTCTTTTTGGCAGCCGAAGAGGATGGACAGTTGATACCTGTGGGCATGTCCAACGATTGTGTGGCCCAGACCTGGTATCGATTCCTCCGTATGATTGGCAATCCCACGGCTCTCTGTTCGCCGCATATCATTAGCAAATCATCACACTTTGTTCAGTGGGCCTTGACCCACGAAAAGGGAGCCGAAACACATCAGCATCCATGCTTGCAGCAGCTGCCGCAGATCTTTCTCAATGCCATGAAGGGCATATCCAGCCAGGTGGACGCATTTCTGGGTAAGAAGAGCTTTCTTTGATTGAATAAATTGGTTGTTGGTTGGTAAATTCTAATAAATTATCATAATATCAGAGCTAGTAAATAGTTAGTTGTAGGTTTTTGTTACAAAGAAAAAGAAGAGTATATAAAAAAATCATTTTTAGATGAAAACTTTAAGTGAAAAGAGTAGAAAAATATAGAGCTTTATTAAGAAAATTTAATTTAATTTTTAATTTGAATTAAATTTTAAAAACAACTAAGGAAAACAACTATTATTTACCTGCTCTGGTTTCTAAAATATCCAAAAACACCTGGTACTCTCTTAGTATACGATTTTTTGTAGTAAATCATATTATTATTACTTAGTTTGTCCGCAGAAAAGGTGTTCTTTCTAAATGTTCTAAAGGTTAATGTTAATTGTTCTAGTTCCTAGGCTAAAGCTACTAAAATGTCCTCTTAGTTTTATAGAACTCTACCTACTTCTTCGCGTATTACGAGTACCAGGTCTGCTTAAAGTGGGAAATTTCGACTTTTTGGCCGCTCTTAAACGTTTAGACTTGGTTTTTTGTGTTAGGCTAGCTGAGAGTACTTCACCATCTTTCTCTTTGTTCGTTTGTTTATCTCTATTTCGCTTTGCTAACCCCCCCCCTTCCAAATATAAAATGTATCTTAACCGAAAACTGTCTGAAATTCGCTGAAAAAAAAACATGAAAACATGTGAAAAACCCGCCATTGAGCAGGCATTTATCAGGCGCCGCCGCAGCAAACGGAGGGCGTGGTGACCAATCTAATGGAAATTCGTCATTCGCTGAACGAGGCCACCTCCTCGACTCTGCAGCAGTTTATCCACTCGAGCAGCGCCACAAATATAGCGAATCATCATCAGCAGCAGCAGCAGCATCATCACCACCATCATCTTCACTATCCACACTTGCATTTACATGGCGCCGGTAGCTTTCTGCGCGACAATTTCATGAGCAACTCGGCCAGCTCTGCTCTGAACGCCATTATGGGTCATCATGGCCACCACCATGGTCACCACCAGCAGCACCAGCAGCAGCAACAGCAGCTCCAGATCAACGCCTCGCCCACGACAAGTCTGTCTGCTTCGGTTGGTGCCTCCGCTGTGGGCAGCACCAGTGCCGGTGGCAGTCACTCTGCCGGAGTCGTTGGCAGCATCTCCTTTGGCCATACGGAACCGGCCTCTGTTTCAGCCACGCCCACGCCGCCATTGCAGCGACGACTGGCCAAGAGCTTCAGCGTGGCGCCAACCATCACACAGCAGAAGGGTGCGGACTCTCCTCTACGACAATCTATATATTGCAACGAAAACCCACCGAATGTTGTACTCTTTGTTGTCACCCAAGATTTGATTTTTATAAGGATTCTGGCAGGGATTTTGGTAGAGTATCTACATTAGAGAGAGTAGAGTATCTAAATTGGAAATGTCTTTCGAGAGGAAGAGTACTTTGACGACGAAATTTGACAAAAATCGATAGTTTTTCGATTATTAAGTAATATTCTTACACTTCACAATCAGTTTTTTAAAATTTTGAAACATTGTTATGGATCTTTTAGATAGTGTCTTTTGTATTTATATCGATATTTTCCCATATTCAACACTTTCAGAATTATTAGGAAAAATATCGATATAAATTCAAAAGACAATATCTGGAAGATCAATAATAATTTTTCTAAATTTTAAAAACTAAATTTAAAGGGCAAGAATAGTTCTTGACGACGCAATAACGATTGTAAATAAAACTTATTTAAGTTACAGCACCTCAAATCTGTAATTGTTGCACTTTAAAGCTCAAAATATTTTCAAAACCCGACGCAAGGGAAATTTTCTGATATCGGATTTGTGTTTAGCTCTTTAAAAACTATCAAAAAAGTATTGAAATATACTATTTTAACAGTTTATTGGTTCCAAAAAGCTGTATTTGTACATTTATTATGGTAAATTATGCCGACATTTACAATTAAGGACTTGTATAGGTCCCTTAATATCTTACAGAATGTTTTGGAAGACTTTCTTAAGAAGAAATCAAGCTTTCAAAAGGTTTTTAAAAGAAATATCAAATTTGTTTTAATTTTTAACCAAAAATAGTTCCACCTCAAAGGGAAAAACATAGAAAATGTTTAGTTGAAACTTATGTACTTACCTGCCAGGGTACTTGCCCTTCGGTACACCGAAGTCTGGACCTCTTTTTAAAATCGTCACATCGTGCTTCTTGAATTGAACTTGACTTGCTTTTGTGTTTGCCGCTTGCCTAGAGATGTTATTTTGCCTTGATTCCATCACCGCGCCAATCATTTCTCCATTTCTCCACGAGTTTTGCATTTTTTCTTGTATTTATTTATACTGTTTTTTTGTTTTTGTTTTTGTTTAAGTATAATTTGTTCCCGTAGCATGAGTGGAATAATCTCGGTGTAATTGCCCGGCGCGGATGAGTCGGGCGACTGAGTAACTGTTTCCACTTTCCACTTGCCACCTCGGCTGAGGCCGGTGGGATTATGCATTGTAATTTATCTGCTGCCATACACGCCCACAATTATTGCATGCTCCCTTTGTATCTGTAGCCCTAGCTCTAGCCGTAGCTGTATCCATGTATCTTTGTATCTGGCGCTCACTAATTTCTCACACTTGCTCTGCTCTACTCACTATCCCCTCCCCTCGTCCCGCATCATCGCCATCGCCAGGCCTAAGCAAGACCTCGCTTATCGGTCTCACCGGCGGCGGCGGCGGCGGCGGCAGTGCACGCAATGCGATCAGCAGCAGCAGCACCATCTCGAGCACTAGCGCTGCCGCCAGCACCACCACCGCCAGCACCATTGCCTCCGCCAACAACTCCACTGCCGCTGTTGGCCCTGGCATAGCCATGGGCTCGGGACCAACCGTGAGCCTGGTACCGGGATCGGGCAGCGGAGCTGCTCCTGCCCCGGCGCCCACAACACCCACATCGACCTCGGGTCCGCCGTCGGCGAGCAGCAGCATCAACTGTAAGTCAGCACTGGAGGCAAATATTGCTAGCTCAGTTCATCCTTCCTTGAAACAAAAAAAAAAATAGAACTAGAAAGGCTTTGAAATATATATTTTTTTTTATTAAAATTTAAAGGATGAACTTAATATATTATATATTAAATATATTTTAAAATTTAAAAGATACAATTAACATTTTTAAAATATATTTTAAACTTGAAATTTAGTATATAAAATTCTACGGATTCAGATCCAATATATAAAATATAAAATATTAATTTTAAAATGCACTAGATAACGGTATTAAAAAGCCATTATTTTTACTTGATCTATTTTAAAAAAGATTTCCATAAATTAAAGCTTTAGTTAGACATTTTTAAGCTAGAAAGAAATTCGCGTATAATACTTTTTATTTTAAAACTTAAAACTTAATATAAAACGGCGAAAATAAAACGAAACTATCGCAAAATGTTCGTAAACACATTTAGAAATGATACAAATTAGTGAGCGTTAGCTAAAGTCTCGTTAAATGTTCACAAAAAGCACTCAAAAAAGAGCTTTTTGTGAACAAAAACTGAGCAACTTTTATTTTAGACATTTCTAAGAGAGGTTCCGATATTTTAGTGGTAATAATTAATAATGTCCCGCCTAAGGTATTACTAAATGCTCGTAAACTGTCTGTTTTTGAGCTATTACTTTTAAAGCAAAAAACTGAGCAACTAGGAATTATTTTTTTGATCATTTTCTGATTACAAGCTAAGTTAGGCTCATTAAAATTTTGATACATATATTTATGATCCCAGATATATATCTTTAAGAGGCATTTGTACGATTTTTAGATGATAAAACAGCTTTTTAATAATTATAAATTTCACCAACTCAATGAAGTTTTTAGGCTTAAACCTTTCAATATATTAGATTAGATGCTTGATAGATTTATGGCCCTTTAGGTGGCATTTCTACGATTATTTTTTAATGGCAAAACCCATATGAGCTGAGCAGCTTTGAGGCTCAAATTTTGTGCTGTAATTTGAATCTCCGCTTGGATCTGCCTATTGCTAATTGGATCTATTTTTGCTTTGTGTGCTGTGTGCCGTGTGAATCGTTGTGAGCTAACTAACATCTAACAGATGTTCTAAAAACCCGCCCCCTAATACAACCAGCCCGTCCCTGATCGTTCTGACTGTGTCTCTCTCTTCCCTTCTCTCCCCTTCTCTCTCTATATATATATATATATATATATATATTATCTCTCTCTGTGTGCGATCACAGCTCTGCCGCTGACTTCGATGGGAGCTGGCGTTGAGTTGGCCGTGGCCAGGCCCAAGTGCAACAGCATTCTCCACGTATTCCACGAGTGGCTCTTCGAGGCGGCGCACATAGGCGGCGACACTTGGCGCCAGAATCGCAAGAGTAAGTCTGTTAATTTTGTATTATAAAAATCATTTGTGAATTATTTTTTCCAAAGAGCAAGCATGCGAGGCCAGTAAGCGACCCTCGTCAATGATCATGGAGCATCGCAAGGGTTCCATTTCACTATCGCAGCCCAACTCCCTTAACGATCCGCAATCGCTGCCGCCAACGCTGACCATTGACAAGTATGAATCCGGGCGGGCCGAGGCCATTGGCACCCTATGCAAGATCTTCTGTGCCAAGAAGACCGGCGAGGAGATCCTGCCCGTCTATCTGGCTCGCTTCTATATGGCCCTGCAGCAGTGCCTGAAGATTACCGAGTCGCGGGAGTGCGACGAGACGCTGGCCAGCATCCTGCTGCATTCGAGCGACCTCTTTCGGTTGGATTTGGATGGTATAAATGTCCTGCTGCCGGGCTTTATAGCCGCCTTGGAGATTGTGCTGCCCGACAAGGACCTTAAGCTGAAGACCCAATCGATGGCCTTCAATCGCACAGAGCTGCGCCGCTCGGCCATCAACATACTGCTGTCCATAATGGTGCTGCCGCTGCACTATCAGACGCTGCCCATCCGGGATCTGGTTACCAGCGAAACGAGCGAGAAGTAAGAGATATATTTTCAGTTTTATCATATCTTTCAATCTTTGTATCTTTGTATCTTTCCATCTTTCTATCTTTTTATTTCTATCTTTCTATCTTTCTAACTTTCCATCTTTCTATCTTTCTAACTTTCTAACTTTCTATCTTTTTAACTTTCCATCTTTCTATATTTCTATCTTTCTATATGTCTATATATCTTTGTATCTTTCCATCTTTCTATCTTTGTATCTTTATTTTTTATTCCCTCCCACAGAATATTCACCTTCATCCAGCTCAAGTCTCGGCTTATGAACATCCTGATGAATGCCCTCCAGGTGGAAACGGATGCCCAGAACACACACATGCTGCTGGGTGGCCTCTTGCTATGCGTCCAGGATGCCGTGACCTTTGAGGAAACGGAACTGGGCGGCGCCAACATGTCCCACAATTCCAGTGGCGTGCAGCACCAGCACCACGAGGCCAATTTGCTTAGCTCTGGTATGCATTTTCACAGCGCTCGATCTCTCCTCCTTCAGCTTGATTTATTTCGATTCTTTAATTATTTAATTATGTTATTTAATTCATGGCTCTTGTTTGATTTCTGTTTTTGTTTTGTTTTCATTTATTTTCCATTTTTCTTTTTGGCTTTGATTGTGTTTTTGCGCCTCAGCTTGCTCGGAGCGTTCCGTTTCGCTGGTCAGCGCTGGTACGGCCAGCTTGAGCGGCCAGACGACGGCCACCATGGGCGCGGGCTCGGGCTCTATTCGTGACACGGCCTCCTCGGCCCATGATTACCCCAGCCTGACCATATCCGATGACATGTCGTTTGAGTTCGGCCAGGAGCTGGACAGTGGCACTACCTACGGTAAACTGAGTTCTTTTGTTGTTGTGACATTTATCATGGAATTTTTTGGAGTCTTAAATCTTAAAAATGATTTTTTAATTTAGCTTTATCTTTTGTGACAATAAAAAACTTTCCTGCACGTCTCTAGATAATGCACACGCCTTGTTTGTACGGGCCACGTACTTGGTGTGCCACCGTTTGATCTCGTCGTGGAAAACGGATCTGAATGTATCGCTGGCTGCCTTGGAACTGCTCTCTGGCCTGGCCAGGCTGCACATTCGGGAGACAGGTGAGAAGAATCGTTTGGAATTAGGGGTAACATTGCATGGGATCTCTTGGTGTCTATGTGTAAGTGTGCTCTTGCAAAGGCTTGAACTAATTCTAAACTAGCAGTTTGATCATTTAATCATTAATCTAACAAACGATTTGAAATCAATTTGATAAACTACCTGAAAGTATGTAATGATATTAATATTAGATTATTATTTTTTATTTATTTTGGGCTTTATTTGTTTTGTTTTTAAACGAAAACATTTACTTTCTATACTTTCAAGTTTAGAATTCATTGTTTTCAAATTATTTTTCACATGATTTATTTATTTAAATTTATTAAATGTTAGTATTTAATAATGAAACTTATCGATTTTAGTTTTAAAAGTTCTTTTCCCTTTGTACAATACTCTTGAGCACTTTTTTAATTGATATTACAAATCGTAGCAATACATAATTTCATGGATAAAGGGTTATTTCAATACTAGCTTATATATGTATGTATCATATTTTCATTAAAAACGTTATAATTACAAATACAAGTTAACTGCTTATTTGAGTAGGAGTGCGATATATAAATCGAAATTTTGCGATAAATCGATAGCAACAAAATGTTGCTTTCAACATGTTTTAATTAGTCAGCAAAAAAAAAAATATACATTTTATAAAACTGTTAAATGTTTTTTCAATATTATCGATTATTAAAAGTTAAGAGCGTTTTTTTTTCGATACATCAAAGTTTATAATATTTTCTTCTATATTAAAACATTTCTAAGCTTGATTAGATCAGATCTTAAGCCACAACTGTTTTAAAAGTAAACAAAATTAAATGTCTGTTGTAAAAAATCTTAGAAAATCCTTTGCAAGGGCATTTACGATAGCCTTTCCTTTCTTGATTTTAATGTCGTGTGTGTTTTCCTCTGTCGCCCCCCGTTTTCTGTTTTGTGTTTACCATTAAAATGTATTCGTATATATCTATATATATATATATATATTTATATATATGTATATGTGCGTTCTTTTTGAAATCTTAACCCCTTAAAAAAATCACCTTAACCCCCCTAACTGTGCGGCAGCCAGGAAATTTACAAATGGTAATTGATTGACGAAACCAAACTAACCTAACTAACGCCACTTTCTTCTGTCTTTCTTTCTTTCTTTCGTTTGTTTTTTTTTTTTGATTGATTGATTGATTGATGCGTTTCTTTTTTCTAACCGCCATCGAAATCCACCGCACCACCGCCATCGAATCCAACTCCCCATAAACCACCCACCAACCACCGAACTCACGAACTCATCCACAACGATTGCGATTTGTTTCCATGTACACAACCTGTATCTAACGTATATATATATATATATGATTTGCCTTGTAAATAACCAACAATAAATACATGAACACCCCACCATCCGAACCCCATATCCACCCCACACCGACCTCCTCCCCGTAGACACCTTAGTGAGAATATACGAAGCTAGTCAGAATCTAACGATAATCTCCTCAGACGCTCTAGAGTGCAAGCGGGCCGTGAAGTGGATCTGCGACTATATCTGCTACCAGTGCTCCCGGCCGCCTCCTGCGCACAGCAAGGATCTGCATAGCACCATTGTGGCGGCCTTCCAGTGCACCGCCGCCTGGCTGATGCAGCATCCGTATCTGCTGCAGGACAAGGACTGCCTTCAGACGGTGCTCGAGGTGGTTGAGCTGGGCATTTCGGGCACCAAGAGCCAGAGCAAGGGCGGTGACATACCCAAGTTCAAGGACGAGAAGGAGCTGAAGCCCGCCTCGATGCGGGTGCGGGATGCAGCGGAGAATCTGCTGACCATTATACTGGAGCAGGTTGGTTACTTTCCCAGCGAATGCGGGCCCGAGTCCATATCCTCGCTGCTTGACGAGGTGGCCCTCATGAAGCACTGCAACTCGATGGTGCCTGCGGCGGCGGCTAGCAGTGAGCAGGCGATTGCCAAGTTCAAGTATTTTGTGACGGAGAATTCCACGATTTTGGCCCTGCTGGAGGAGCCGCTGGGCAATGACCAGGATCCGCAGCCAACGGTTACGCGTAAGTGTTTGTTTTGAAAAGTTAACCAAAGCCCCTCCCCTAACCACTGATCCCCCTCCCTCGGCAGTGCTCATTCGCGGTCCCTTCGGTCGGCATGCCTGGACCATGCAGCTGCGCCACTTGCCCCGCAGCAAGTCGGGCATCAAGTACCATGCCGTCAATCCTGGCAGACCCATACCCATGAACGATGTCAGCCAGCGGCCCGAGTGCGAGCAGAAGAACTTCCCCGAGGGTGTGGACAAGGTGCAGCCCTGCGTGGCGGACTACTCCATTCCAACCATCGAACAGATACGCGAACAGTATGGCTCGGGCAGCATCCGGGAGCTGGAGGCCATGCTGGAGAACCAGAGCATCCACGAGAAGCTGGCCTGGGCGGAGGCGGACACCAGTGCCGATAGCCTGTCGCATGCCCAGGAATGTGTGCCGCCGGCGGTGTGCCACGAGTTCCATGCGGCGCGCCTCTTTCTCTCGCATTTTGGTTTCCTTGGCTTCGAGACACGCAATCCGCACAATCCGGCCGAGTCGCTGGGCACGCCGCCGCAGCGACCACTGATTGTGCTGGACACCAAGTCGACGGCCTTTGCCGCCGATCTGGAGCGGCTGGACAAGCTGAGTGCGCGGACCCATGACACGGTCTATGTGTTCTATGTGAAGGTAACTTTGATCCTTGATTATTTCTCATCCTCAGCTGATGTTTCTCTTTCTACCAGTCGGGTCAGACAAGCGCCCAGCAGATAATTGGCAACATGGCCGAGGAGCAGGGATCTGGTCGGGATCCGCATTTCGCCAGCATGCTGCAGACCCTGGGCTGGCCCGTCCAGGTGGCGGAACACTCGGGCTGGACGGGCTTTGTCCACAACTCGTGGTCGCTCAAGGGAACGCCCGAGGAGCAGGTGGTGACCCAGGCGGCAGCCAATGAACTGAACTACAATGGCTCCCAGCGGGTGATCTATTGGGCGGATGTCTCCTCGGAAATTGCCTTTGTGGTGCCCACCTCATGGAATCTGCGGCACAACAGCGATGCCAACGATACGGGCAGCATTTCCTCCTCCTCCCACCCGGATCAGGTCAGTGGCTCCAGCAATGTGTGGGACACAATGGAAGGTCGTGATGGTCAGGGTTTGGCCAAATCCAAGTCAAGGAATCTCAGTCTGGAGCTCGATATGACGCGCAACAGGGATGCCAAGGAGCCAGTGCCTCCTACGCGGCGGAAAGGCAATGTGACCAAGCCCACGCTGCTGGCCCAGGCGCCGGCCAAGATCTTTCTGGTGTGGCTGGAGAGCTACGAGGATTACCTGAACTTTCCCCTGGAAGATATGCTCGCCTATACGCGGACCGGCGAGGAACTAAACACGCTCCAGCTGCCCCGCGCTTCCGACTGTCACGTGATCTTTGTTCACTCGCTGCTCTCGGGACTGCTGCGGGTGAAGCTGCAGGGTCCGCCCGGCAGGATGAGCTTTGCCACACCGCTGGTGGATGGCATGGTGCTGAGTCGGCGGGTCGTGGGGAATCTGGTGCGGCAGACGGCCTTGAACATATCACGCCGACGGCGATTGGACAATGACAAGTGGGTTTTCCTACAAATCTCTTCTAAGCTCCTGAAGCTGTAACCAAAGTTTCTCTATTTTGCAGCTACCAACCGCCGCATGTGCGACGACGCCTCAAGGTGCAGGACATTGTCCTCAAGTACAAAATGGATCTGAGCGAGGCCGAGCTGCTGGCCCATCTCTTCCAGCGTGCAATCTAGCCACCGGGCGATCGAAAGTATTATATAAATATATATAAATATATTAAACAGCGTGGGACTAGCGCCAGAGGGGTGCTCCTCCCCTGCCCTATCCTATCCTGTCCTGTATTAACATGTGTGTGTTTGCTTGTAACTAAAAAAAACCAGAAAAGCTGATCCCTAATCGGTGTCCACTGAGTGTCCCCCGAAACACAGGCCGTATGCTAATTTTATTCACTTTTTTTTGCTAATAAATCTAATTTATACTTTATAAAAGTATTTGTAACGAGTATTACATGCTGTGCGTTATTGGTCTTTGGTTAATCTGTTTTTCTGTGAAGCGGAAACAATTTTGGGGCATATCCGCAATCAATTTGGACTCACAAGATATGGGTGAAGAGCGCATGAGGTGAAAGCTAGTTGTGAGTAAAGAGAAAATAATTAGAAATGGTTTCGTTTGTCAGGGATTTACTGAAGGGTTTTATTGATCTCTACTGGAAATAATTTGTAATGTGTCCTTAGGTATTTTGAGTGTAATTTGAGGTTGTTTTGGGTGTATTTTGGGTGTACTATACCCTTGCAGGGTATTATAATTTCAGTCAGAAGTTTGTCATGCATTGAAGGAGACATTTCCGACCCTATAAAGTATATATGTATGTTTTTGATCAGCATCAACAGCCGAATCGATCTAGCAAACTAGTCCCTCAGTTTTAAAGTTATCTAAATGAAACTTTTCATATAGTCTTCTGAATACTCTCACTGCTATATATGTCGGAACGGGCCGGATCGGACGACTATATCATATAGCTGCCATACAAATGTTCGATAAATTTTTAGAAAAAAAATTATAACTTGGCTGCTTTTCAATATTTTTGCATAATTTTTGAGATTTTGGCCATTTTTTATTATTTCAGAATTTTGGTTTTAATCTTATGAAAATCAGACGACAACTTCAACATGTAAGCAGAATATGCATTTGCGATTGACCTGCTAAACGATAGTTTATTTTATATAGACAGTTTCCTATATATCTAGATTTCCCCTCCTTCTGGGTCATGCTGTCATCCCAACCGGCAGCATCTATGGTTAATTTCACCTTTGACTTGCGGGTCTCTGGGGCATGGGGATGAGGAATTTGGGTCCGTTGATCATTGATCGGTGCTTGGCGGCGGTTCGTTTGCCGGTTATTTGGACACACGCCGCACCATTTCGCAACGCCTCCAACGGGCAATCAATTCGAAACTAAACTGTTGCCGGCCGAGGGCCATGGCGTCGTCATCATTTCCAGTTCATAATCTGCAGTCTCCCGTCTTCAGCCTTTCAGTCTTCATCATCAATGAAAGTCGTGATGTAATGATATAACCCGAAAGCCCACAACAAGTTACAAATCTGTTTCTCGTTTTGCATATGTTTTGGGGCCCATTTATTTATTAACAAATAAAGTATTTATGAGTATGTTAGCGTTGAAGAGGCGCTTGCCACCACCCCTGGGCATTTTCCCAGGTGAGCGATTAGCCTTGAAAAGAGAAAAGAAAAGCAATAAATATATATTTACAAAACAATAAGAGTTGTGGGGCTTGCCAAAGAAAATAAAATGGTTTATGTTGATCAACTTTTGTGAATTAGGCAATATTTTCAGCTAATAATGATTAGATGAACTCTTTCCCACGAATGAGGAAGCATAACAATTAAGTTTCAGTTGGAAAATCATTAAAAGGTGTATAAGTAAAAGCCAAACTTGAGTTTTGTTCAATATTTTTATTAACAAATAATTTAAGTTAATAATGAATGGATGTTTTCATTTTCGTTTTGTTGATCAATAATGACTGTGAAGGATTAGCCTAGGAAAAAAAATACATAACAATAGGGTAGAGGATAGCGAAAAAAAAATTTTTGTAACAATTCATTTGGTCTAACTAACTAGGCGCGGGCAGGACGAACTGCATCTACCAGGCGGAGGAGGAGCCACCGCTGCTCCAGCCAGAAGAGCCACCGCTGCTCCAGCCGCTTCCAGAAGAGCCAGACGAGGAGGAGGAGGATCCACCCCAGCCGCCCTTAAGGCCACCACCGTTCTGGCCCTGCTGCGGCTGCTGCTGCTCCTGGACACGCATCACCTTTAGGGTGCCGCGCTGCACCACATGGCCGCTCTTGAAGAAGGCTCCCTGCGCCTGGTCCACCTTCATGATGATGGCCTTGCCCTTGGAACCGAAAGTGTTGATCAGCTGGCCATTGATGGCGGCCACATCGGCCGAGCCACCGCCTCCGCCGCCCAGGGAGTCCTCCTGCAGCACCAGCTGAAGGATCTGCGGCAGAATGGCATTAAATTGCTGGGTATCGAAGGAGGAGGAACCACCATAGCCATGTCCAGAGGCATACGACTGTCCGTAGCTGTGCGAGTGACCCTGGTCGTACGAGTGGCCATGACCATAAGAGTAACCACCGGATCCGCCAGAAGCATGATAGGCAATGGGAGCCACTGGAGCAGGAGCGGCCACGGGCACCGAGATGGGAATGGGAATGGGAGCTGGAGCGGGAATCGAAACTGGAGCTGGGGCTTGCTCGATGATCTTGTAGATGGTCTGCGCCTGCTGGCCGCCATAGGAGTGGGAGCCATGATCATGGCCATATGAGTGACCACTGGCATAGCCATGTCCATGGCCGTAGCTCTGGCCAGTGGAGACAATGCCGCTCGCTGATCCGCCGCCATTGCTGTAGCCCTGACCCTCCTGCAGAATGACCTTGATGATCTGCGAGGAGCCACCGCCGCCGTGTCCGCCGCCTCCATGGGAGTGGGCATAGCCATGGGCCTGGGCATAGCCATGGCCACCTCCACCACCACCGCCGCCGCCTCCGGAACTGGGAGTGGCTATCACATTGTAGGTGGTCTTGCTGCCACCGCCACCGCCGCCTCCTCCGCCGCCCAAGAAGGACAGAAAGGTGGCGTTGCAGGCACAGATGGTGGCCAGGAGGCAGATGAAGACCTAAGAAGGAGGGTAATCCGTTTAGTATCCGTTGAGTCCCGCATCCGGTGTTCCGTAACTCACCTTCATTTTCGTATTGAGCTCTCTCGGTTTGCTGTATCTGAGGAAAGGTGGAATCGAGGACGACACCTGTGCGTCGAGCTGTTCCCGGCTAGCGAATGATGCCACTCTCCAGTCGACCCCACGTTTTTATACAAGAGTTATGCCGAAGTTCCGCCAAAACCGTTAGACGCGGCGATGATGGCCCCGTGACGTCAGAGATGTGGAGTCATCGTGGGCAGGTCGGTCGCAGCTTCAGCTGACCACCGGCCAAGCTGCTCTTGTAACGCACCTGAGATCTCAAAGAGAAGACGCACGCAGGCCAGTAGGGCCATACAGGGTGCTTTTTAATGGGAAGCCACTAATTGAAAATAAATTGATTCGAAATTGAACTGAGTTGAGATTGTTGTTTAATAATAATTAATTATAATAAATAATTTTCATTAATTTTTACTATTGAAGTTCTTATTATTATACTTATTCACCAAGTTGCTTATGTGTTCACTTGTTCATTAAGTATTTTTATCTTATAATTACTCAGTGAGAAAGTTGTTATCTTACTTCTTTACTCAATTGCTCACTCAGTAAAGCATTCAGTTGTTCCCTCATTTGTTCATTTAGTTGTTCACTTTTTGTTTGTTTTATTATTTATTCAGCATGTTCATTTCTTCGTATACGTATGTTAACTTAGTTTTTCCCCTCAATTGTTCACCCATTTGTTCATTCATGTGTTCACTCATTTGTTTACTCATTTGTTCATTCATTTGTTCACTCAGTCCTTTACTCATTTGTTCACTTAATTACTCACTAAGTTGTTTTAATAGTTGTTTATTAAGTTGATTCCTTAGTTGTTTACTTGGTTGTTAACTTTGCTCTTGACTTTATTGTTCCCTCTGTCGTTCTCTGTGTTCTTCACTCAGTTGGTCCACTCATTTGTTTATTAAGTTAAAGAAAAATTATAAAATATAGTTATTAATTAATGCCGTCATCAAAATACCCATAAAAGACACCCTGTTAGCCCATCATCTATTTCTCCAACATGCAACAATAACAAAACGCCGACAAAAAAACAATAACAATAACAAACACAAGCGGATAACAACGACTTAACAACGCAAGCTTAAGCAGATGCGCCACGCTCCGCTCTGCTCTGCTCTGCTCTGCTCCGGCAGGGATCCGAGGTGCGTCGTAGGGTCAACCTCAAGCCACCGCAACCAACTGACCGGCTTTTTGCATATGATTATCGATTTGGACGCTTCGCTACTTACACTGAAAATAATTGGTCTAAATAAGCAATATTTGTTAGACTTGAAAATTAAAAATAAAGTTAGACATTAAATAAGACTCCGGTCAGTGCCAGTTTCAAATATAAAATTAATTCATTATTTTAGAAATTTAATAATTCAATTATGAAGCTTAAAATTACATTAAATTAAAATTAAAATTAAATTAAAAATTAAATTAATATTAAAGTGATTTAATATTTTGAATTATGAATTATTTGAGAAAGGATTTATAAAACCAAAAAAAATATTTACTTAAATGGTTGATTGTTTCTCTTCTTTGATTAACGTTAATCATTATTATTTAACGGAATTTTAAATGTTAGATTTAAAGACTTTAAAGAACAATTTATTAAATTTTTAAATTAATAAAAAAGTTATTAATGAATTTTTGCTAATATTTATACCCAATTAAACCTTATAAAAGATTTTTTTTTTTTATATAAAAACTCTCCACTTTCTCTCCGTGTAAATGGCTAGTTGGCATTGCAACAGAAAGCTCTCGGGCTGGGAAGCGCTTGGCCTAGTGGTCGTGGATCTTAGCCATGGATTGGCATCTCGGAATCCCAGGCAGCCGGATTATTATATCATGCAACATCGTTTTCAAATTTGTTAATTTTCTGTGCATTTTTGTATAAATTATTTAATGCGCACTGTTGCGCATGCGCAGCCCTATTTCTCTCTCTCTCTCTATCGCTCTCGCTCTCGCTTCCGATTCCGATTCCAAGCCCTTTCGATTTGCCGATGACCCGTTACCTGCACGTTTTTCGATATTAGTTTCAGTTTCGGTTTCGCCTTAATAGCTAACTAAAACAGCAGAAACTAACGAAATCACAGTCGAACTTCTATAAGTCCAATTGCGTTATCTTTTACCAGAGCTAAACCTCTGAGTTAACTTGATAAACGACTTGAAATTAATTGGCCATAAAATGTTGTGATCACAATCAGTCGTTGGATGTAAGCCAACATTATAATTGCTTCAAGTTTAAGGCTTTTCAGGGCCAACAGGGCTTGTAAGCTGAAGTACTATTACTTTTGAGGGTTTTATCTCTAAAATTTTATAGATTTAATAAAGCTTTAGATAATTTTTGGATTTCTAATGCTTTATCGTAATCTAGTTTTGAATTTTTAAGCAATTTGTATGAATATATTTGTTTTATTATATTTGTTATATTATTATTATTATTATATTATGTATATTCATATAGTATATAAATGTCATAAGATATAGTTTTTCAGGGACTCTATTAGGTTAATAAATAACACAAAACTAAATAGAACTATATCGATAGGGATATTTATGTTGTAAACCTTAAATGAATCAAACTTTAAGAAATCATTTTCCATATCCCACACTCTTTCCAAATCTCTTTTAATTTCCTTGTTCCTAGATCCCTCTTAGTGACGCTCCACTGTACATTTTCAGACGATTGGCGTTTTATCACCTCACTCAAGTTGGTGTTATTATAAACGTTGAGTAGTACGGGTTGAGGTTGTTTTGGGGCTGGGTGTCAAAGCACCGCTTGTGAGTGCGTGTGTGCCTGTGTTGGGGCAGGTTCCCAGCCCCCTCCCTGAATGGAAATCAACATAATGCGCCTGATTTGACGTGGTGTGTGCAAATAGTGGGCAACTGATCAATGGCCGAGGGACCGGAATTCGCCTTATGCAATCAAAATTTTTGGTTTACGATATGTCATATCTATTTAAATGACCAAAATTCCTTATGCGATAACCCTTTACACATGCCATTGAGGTGAAATAATATGGTAAGTGGGATATCAAGGCAATTATTTCATTGGAAACTCTCTCATAAACATTTATTTATATTAAAAAATATATAGAAAATCGATTAAAATACAAGACAGGGAAGGTAAAGCTTCCATCTTAGCGGAAGCCCAATAGATGCCTCGGTATTTGGTAGTTGGAGTAGACCCCTGCGAACCGGATCACCCAGCCCACGCCATCGTAGTTGACCGTCTTGTGGAAGCGGACCACCACCTGGCTGCGCGGACTCTTGTACACCTTTGGGTTGTCCTCGCCGCAAAAGCGTCGCACCTCGCGCTCCTCCCCGGCATCGTCCTGCTCCAGAATCTGCAGGTAGTCCGTGTGGCAGGTGGTCTTGCTGCCCAGATTGAAGGCTGTTGGGACAAAAATATAAGTACGAGAAGATTGGGATAGAGACTCCTCTCAACTTACCCTCAAAGGTGAGCAACACTTTATTATTGCTCGGCACCCGTACAATCCACCGGCAGTCGGTGTTGTTCCGGACATTTTCCGGATAGAAGGGATTGGCAAAGATGCCCTGGGTGTTGTAGAACTGACCCCCGCATCCGGGACCCTTCTCCACGGGACTGGCCAGATAGGTAAGGTCCAGGGAGGTCAGATAGCTGCCGGTCACAACGTGCAGTCGCACCTGATCCGTATAGGTGAAGAGGCTCTTGCCCATATCCACATAGCCGCAGACACGCTGCAGGGATCGATTGGTCCTGTCGTAGACCTCCAAGTGCTCGACGTCGCAGTCATAGGAACTGAAGACCAGCTCCGTGTAGTACAAGCTGAGGGTGTGGTTCGCCGGTGCCTGGATCATGACGTCGCAGTCCGACGTCTCTGACACGTAGACCCTGCCCTGCAGCCCACCATAGTGGCGCTCGCAGTTGCTGGCCAGGGTGATCTGGAGCTGGAATCCCGGCCGGGTCTCCATGCCGTTCGACCGGAACTTGAGGTTGATCTCGTTGGCATTGGCGAAGTACGTATCCGGCTTGGCGTTGCCGCAGTAAACGTGCTCCGTGGCATAATTGATGTAGTTGTGGGCGGAGGTGTGCCCATTGAAGATGAGCTCAGTGCCGTAGCCCTGCTCCACCAGCTGGGCGTCCTCGCTGTTGTAGACCTTGAGGTAATCGGCCACACAGCTGCCATTGGCATCGGGCCCCTCCACATCGAAGCTGAGGAAGTGCAGGCTCAGCGGCTTGTCGCCAATGATCTTCCAGAAGCAGGCCACCCCGTTGGCATAGTTGCCACCCGGCTCCCGCGACGGTGAGCTCATGGTCACCTGCTTGACACCATCGGACGCCAGTCGGATCTCCGGGCTGCCGCACAGCCGGGGAACAGCGCTGATAGCCACCTCAAAGCCGGAGTCATTCACCTGGTCGTCGGTGACGAAGCGCAGAAAGAGCGTATGCCGGGTGGTGGTCAGCGTCGGTGGCTGATCCTGGCCACAGAAGCGTCCAATCAGATCGGCAAATGGCCCGGCCCCGTCGCGCAGCTCCACATAATCCTTGCGGCAGTCCGCCGACAACTCCACATGGAAGCTGCGGAACTCCAGGCTGATCTGCTGATCCCGATGCACCCGGAACACGATCTGGCAGTCCAAATTGGCATCGTAGCCATTGGCCTTGCTGAACTTGACGAAGATGTAGCGCGCCGAGCTGTTGACCAGGATCTGCTCATCGCAATTGGGCACAATGCGGACCAGGGCCTTGAAGCCGCGCGAGGGATCGCGGTCATCCGAGTAGCTGTGGATGAGGCCCCTGCTCTGCGGAATGCTGATCACCGGCAGATCTTCGTTGATCCTGCCGCAGAAGCGACCGCGGCGCTCCCGTTCGAGGGGCACTGCGCCGGCGAAGATCTCCACGCCGTCGTAGGCGCAATTGGTGTGCGGCTCAAAGTCCAGCAGCTGGAACTTTACCGTGAACTTGTGACCCTCGGGCGCCGTCAGATTCCAGTAGCAATCGCTGCTGGGCGGCAGGGAGTTGTCCGTGTGCTGGCGCGGTGACTCCACCACGCCCGTCTTGCTCACCACGCCGCCGCAGAGCCGGGTGCTGTAGCGCAGCAGGAATCCCCGGCCGGCGAAACTGTTGTCCGACCTCAGGACCAGATTGATCGACTCCAAGGCCCTGTACTCATGGTTCTGCTTGACACCGCAGAGAACCGCCTGGCTGACGTGATCCTTGTCGTCCCTGGTGATCACGGTGAGATTATCAAACAGGCACTGCACTATGGGCGCATGTTCCAGGTCGAACTCCACGAAACTGACCAGGACACCGCGTGCAACCTCCGGATTCCTGGGCTTTATTGTCCAGTTGCAGTAGAGGCCCTTGTCGTAGCCCAGCGGATAGTTTGGACTGGACAGCATCTGCTCCTCGTCGTCGGCATACAACGGACCGCCGCAGTTCCGCTCAAACTTGGCGAGGAATCCCTGGCCGACGGTGTCGCCGTCGGAGCGGAAGATCAGCTGCATGAAGCGAGCCGTCGAGTTGATCTGATCCGGTGCACTGCGTCCGCATATCCGCCGCAGGTCGGTCCAGTTGCCGTTCGCATCGTCGCGCTGCTGAACCAGCAGGTAGTCCTTGGTGCATCCGGGACTGTCCTCGATGAAGAAGCGATTGAGGAAGGACAGGCCAATGTGATAGCCCGCCTCCGCCTCCACCTCCCAGATGCACTCGACGTTGTTCTTGTACTGCTCGTAGAACTCGATGCTGCGATACGGATGCTTCAGCCGGCCCCCGCATCCGGAACCGTACTTGATGGACACATTGAAGGTGGCGTTGGGGTTAAACTGATCGGCATGGTACTCGAGGAAGAGCCCCCGCTCCACGACCATGTTTACGGCGACGTCCTCCTGGCAGTACTCGCCCAGCTTGGGGGAATTTTGATCGGGGCCATTGTAGACCTGTGGGAAATATGGGAATGGATATATGAATTATGGCGGAAAAGCTGAGGGAAGAAGATGGAGAGGGAGGATTAGGAAGGAACCTTAGATACGAACGTAACAGAGAAACCCAAGGAAAACCGAGATAGAAACCTAAGAAGAAAAAAAAAACCTTATACCCACCGTAAGGAAGTGATGCTGACACCGAACTTCCGTCGAACCTGGCGCCAGGGCTGGCGTCGGCAGGTTGACCCTGATCGAGACCTCGAGCTGAAGATCCTGCAACGCGGAGTCATCCTCGGTCATCTCATCCGCATACGAACCGATGGCCCAGGCACAATCAATGGCTCCCCGGATGCCCTCCATGCCTGACGGCTGTCGCACCGTCATATTGTCGCCGGGCTCGAGGTTGTGGACACCGCCGCAGGCCTGCATGCTGTAGCCGAGGATGAGGTTCGTCAGTGAGTTTCGCACGCCAGCCGAAACCGTCATCTGGATGGAAAAGGGCACCCTAATTACGGGGCGTTGCGGCCTGGTCTCGAAGTCGCAAAGAAGGCGCGGCAATAAAGCCTCCGACTTGGACAGGCGGTTTAGCTTGAGTGGCGAGATCAGGGAGCAGAGGTGGGTGTTCCGCATCATCACCGAGCTGGTGTTGTACTCCTTTACGAGGATGAGAACGGTGCTGTTGACCGGCGGCTGGATGTCATAGCTGCAGTGGACCAGGCTGGTGACATTGGTACGCTCGAAGGTCATCTGCTTCGTCACATTCTCCTGGAGGTCAAGGCTCTGGCACAGACTGGTGCCATAGGCCCAGAACCGGAAGCGGAAGCCCCGGAGCTGGTTTATAGGCAGCAGGAAGGTATCGATGCCCATCGTATTGTCCGACGAGATGACCTCCTCGGGCGGATTGTTGGTGTAGCGGCCCAGAATTGATTGCATCTTGTGATCGTTGGCAATGATGAGGCGGCCGCGGAATGAGCTTATAAATCCGCCTACTCCTCTGGTCACGTTCCCTGAGCCCGTATTAAAGTCGACGATCTCGAGGCGCACACGCCTTCCCTTGGGCACCTCCAGCTTCCAGACGCAGTGCACTGGCGTGCGCACGCCGTCGGGATAGCCGGGCGTCTGCAGGACGCCTTGCATGGCGAATATCGTTTCGCCGCACCGGGATCCCACCGAGCTGTAGGTGATGCGGAAGCCCTGATCCTCCGGTGGCAGACCGTCGAGGAGGCGGTATCGTAACACGATCTTGTTGGTCTCACCAATCAGATTCTTCTCCTCGGAGCCGCACACGAGGAGTCGGTCCGAAATGCGCTCAACGCCCGCCGACCCAAAGGCCTCCATCTCCTCCAGCAGCAGGTGGCTGTGCTGGGAGCAGTTGCCGTTCACCGCCGCCGGCAGCTTAATAAACTGGGAGTGCAGCTCGATGGTGTTGCCCTTCTCCAGCTCAATGGTGTACACACACTCCTCCAGCGGCTGACCCTCCTCGCTGTGTATCTGCAGGAGTTCCCGCGGCGGCGAGGCAATCACACCGTCGGGACTGTAGTAGGCGCCGCCGCAACTGGCCAGCTTCACGCTGGCCTGGAAGCCGATGTGCGGCTCGGTGACGTCCGTGTAGTAGTGGATGCGCAGCTGGCTGCCGGATGAGTAGATCGTGTCCGGACTGCGCTGGCCGCAGAAGCGACCCAGCTCCGGCCTCAGCTCCGTGCTGCCATCGTTCACCGCTACGTACTCCTGCTGGCAGTCGCCGGAAGCCTTGGAGGCAGCCGTCAGATCGAACTTGCCGCGGAAGTGCAGCATGATGCGGTGCTGCGGCGGCGCAGTCACGATCCACACGCACTCGGAGTGCGGATGCGGGAGATTGGGGTAGTAGGGTGAGCTGATCAGCTCCTCGTCGGTGGCCGCCTTGAGTTCGATGCGCCGGGAGCAGGCGTGCGAGAGTTCCTCGAACCGGAAGGAGACCAGGAAACGGGCCGTGCCCCAGTACCGGAACTTCACATAGGCCCGGTTCGAGGTGGTCTCCAGCGTGTCCTGGATGTTGTCCTCGCAGTATTTGCCGTGGCCCAGGAAGGGAGAGTCCTCGTCGAGCCCGTTGCGCAGCAAGAGGAAGTTGTCACAGCCGGAGGAGCCGGACGAAGGTCCGGCCAGATTGCTATTCTGCAGCAGGGACTGCGGGAAATCGATCTTGATCCGCCTGCCCTGGCGCACCTTAAGGGTCCACACGCACTCGTTGATCCGCATTGAGCTGCGCCTTACCACCTCCGTGATGTTGACCTCACCCTTTGCCGAGGCAATGTCCGAGCCGCAGGCCGTCCTCAGCAGGCCGCTAAAGCCCGTCTGATTGACGCTGCCGTCCGTGACGAACTCCACCCGGAGGTGGGGCTTGCCGTGGTAGGTCCGCCCGCTGGTCTCGTTGCGCAGCGAGCAGATTTTGCTCGGCTCCGACCAGTGCTGCAGGTCACTGCCGCTGGAGATCCTCACGTAATCGGCAATGCACTCGTTCTCGCCGCCAAATACCTCCAAGTCCACCCGGATTAGCGAGAGCACCGCATGCATGCCCGGATCCGAGGCAACCAGGCTCCAGGCACAATCCAAGCCGTTTTCGTAACCATTGGGATAGCCCGGCGAGTGGAAGGTCACGGCCGCTTGACCAACGGAGACCAGTTCGTTGCCACAGAGTCGCATCTGGGCCTCCGCCGTGCGGTTCGAGCGCAGATCCTCCTTGGACAGTCGCTGCCAGCTGAGCCGGAAGGGACCCCGGCTGGCCGTGAAGTACAGCACGTTCGAGCTGGACCGGATGGGCTCGTCGGGATCCGTGACCTCGATGCGTGCCCCAATGTCCGAATAGCCGTCGTAGAAGCGCAAATGCGGCTGGTCCACATCGCGGAGGTGTTGGACCGAGAGCACCACCACGTAATCCTTGTCGACGGTAATGCGCCAGCTGTACGGATGCTGTGCGTCCTGGAACTGGCTGGGATAGTGCGGCGACTCCACAATGCCATCCGTGCCGTTCAGCTCGTTGTGGTGTTCTGAATTAAAATTTTTCGATATAATATCAATGGGATCCCCGACTCCACACCCACTTACCGTAGCTGTAGGAGACTATGAAGCCCTCGCCCACATTGTCGTCATCGCTCTTGAAGGCCATCCAGAGGGAGCCGCGCGAGCGAATGGTGCCCGGCAACTGGTTGCCGCAATAGACACCAATCAGTTTGCCGCTCTCCGACTCCTCGCGCACCTCCAGATAGTCCCGATTGCAGCCCTCCGAATCCTCCAGGTCCATTGACTCGAAGGTCACGCTGAGGGAGTTGCCCACGTTGGCCTCCAGGTACCACATGCATTCGATATTCACCGGATACGAGGAGGGATAGTACGGTGTACTGAATCTTCCGGATAGAGCGTTGTAATAGCTGCCACAGGCCGTGTCCATGGTCATGTAGTGGGCCTCGAACTCCTCGACCAGCAGCAGGGGTACACTGATGGTCAGAGCCTGGCCGTTGGAGATCAGGGCCGGCGGATGAGAGTGGCAGAATTGGAGGCGAGGTGTACCCTTGACCTCGGTACCTTCGTAGATGTGCACACCCTCGGGCATGCAGTCACCTTCCGTGCGGTAGTGGCTGCCCCCCACTTCCTCCTCCTCCCTCAGCTTGATGTGCGTCACCGTAAAAATGATGCGCTTGTTGGGCTCCTGGGCTTGGAGCACCCACAGGCAGCTCTCGTTGCGCGAGGCCTGGCGTCCCATCTGGATGTACTCAAAGTCGGACTCATCGATGGACACCTGTAGGGGGGGGATTTATAAACATTTCAAAAGGATTTTCGAATGGTCTGGGCTTTTATCACCGTCTGTCCACAGGTCTCGTGGAAATGCAATCGGAATCCCTTCCTGGAGACGGAATCATCGCTGACGAAACGCACCAGAGCCACATTTGTGGCGGACATCTTTGGCTTGCCAGATTCGTCCTCGTCCTTATCGCAGATTTTGAATAGCTGCCGGTTCTCGCCATCATCCTCGGTCACATCGAAGGCCTCCAAATAGTCCCAGGAGCAGCTGTAGCCCGACTCCATATCCAAATCCTGCACATCAAAGACGATGCGATGGTGCTTGGACACCTCCACCTGCCACTCGCAGTGGCTGCCCTCTGGATAGTTGCCCGGATAGTTGGGCGACTGGATGACACCGTTTCTGGTGGAGATTGTGCCACCGCAAGCTGTGGATGATTAAATTAGTTCTTTAGGGTTCCTACTCGCTAACCTGGTGGATCTTACTCGCTTTTACCGCTTGATATTTGGCCTCGAAGCCCTTGCCATTGTGGGAACCATCCGAGATAAAGCGCACATGCATCCTGTTGCCAGAGCTGGTGAGGATCAGCTTCTTGGTGGAGCCGCAGTGACGTTCGTGGACCTGGACTTCGCTCATATGATTCGACACCTAAGAGTGGACTTGGAACTAAGGAACTAAATTGCTTTGAAGGTGACTTCTTCCTACCGTCAGCGCATCCTTAGTACAATTGACGCTCTCCTCCAGATCCATCTCCGTTATGGTCAGCTTAATGAGGTGATCCCGCTCCACGTTGATCTGCCAATAGCACTCCATGCTGTTGGGATACATGCCGGGGTAATTCGGGGAATGGAATGAGCCGCTCTCGCCGCGCAGCTCCTCCATGCAACCCACCACCTGGTAATCCATCAGGAAGCTCAAGGTGCTGGCATTGTGAACAACGGTAATCACCTCGCCGCTGGCATTCAGAGCCTTCGGCGCCAACAGCTTTTGGATGTTCTGGCCATCTACAACATACAGACCGTCGCGCAGGTCGGTGGGCAGATGCTCCTCATGCCGCTGCATGTGGGACAGCTCCAGGCGAATGGAATTTCCCTTGGGCGCATGAATGGTCCAACTACAGTTGATGGGCATGTCCTCCGTGAAGGGTTCCATATAGTTGAGGCTTTCGAGGGTGCCCGAGGTGGCGGTCAAGTTCCGCACACAGTTGGCCTTGTAGGAGATGCGGAAACCACGCATGGCGTTGCTTGAATCCGTATCGAAGACAATGGTGGCCTCGTTGGAATCCACCTGAATCACTCTGTCCCGCGGCGTCGGCTGCTGGCAGAGCGTGCGATCCGGCTTTTGGCCGGAAAGCCAGGGTCCGTTGTAGATCTTGACGCTGTCGTAGTAGCAGTTAGCCAGCGACTCCAGCTCCAGGTCTTCGATGAGCAGCGTGATGCCCGATCCCTGGTGGACGGTTAGGCGCCACTCGCAGTGCGCCATGTGGGGATAGGCGTTCGGGTATCTGGGCGACGTTATGACCCCCGAATTGGCACGTAGCCGTCCGCCGCAGCCGGAGCCGAAAATGCGCCAGCGCAGACGGAAGCCCCGGGCAGTGTTCGCCGCATCCGTGTGGAGGCGCAGCGTCAGCTCGTTACTAAAGCTGGGTATGCGCGTGGGTATGGTCGTGCCGCAGAAGCGTCCAATCAGCGGGGAGTCAGTGCCGCCGCCGTTCATCACCTCCAAATAGTCCGCCGAGCAGTTGGCCGACTGCTCCAGGTCGAAGACTTCCATCTGGATCTCTAACAGTTCGTCGCGGGCCCCCGTCAGACGCCAGTCGCAGTCCAGGCCGTTGGAGTACAACATGGGATAGCTTGGGGAGCTCAGTTCGCCGGCAGAGGCGTGGATATGACCCCCACATTGACCCATATCCTCGAAGGTGTAGGACAACTCGAAGCCGCCGTCCGACTCGCTGTAGTCCGAAGTGAACTTGATGACCAGCTGGCGGGAGTGGCTCATCAGATCCTCCGGCAGGCGGTTGTCACAGTACTTGGCCAGCGATTTGGCCGTCGAGCTGCCCAGCTGGGCATCCAGCCGGTCGAAGATCTCCACATAGTCGAAGCTGCAGTCCATGGAGCCCTCCAGCTCGAAGCTGATCCAGTGCAGACGGATGCCCTTGTTGGGCGGCGCCAGGATCACCCAGTAGCAGGTGGCGTCATTGGCATACTCACCCATCCCATTTACCGGCAGCCGGATGTTGTCTCCCGGTCGGGTGTGGACTCCGCCGCACTTGTCGTTGGCCACGGGCACCGCCCGGTATTCCAGCTTGAAGCCACGGCCCCGGGTGTCCGTATCTGTGGTGAGTTGGTACTGCAGGTAGTTCGTTTGACTGAGGAACTCCTCCGGCGGCTGCTTGGCGCCGCAGTAGGGTCCAAGGATCTGGCGATTGAGGCCATCGTTGACCTGTGGAAAGTATGACATGGACATGGAGAAACTTTCTCTGATCTTGTGTAAGCGTAAGACTCACCCTAAGGCTGGTGGTCAGACAGCCCGCATCGTCCTCGTCATTCTCGCCGCTCTTCAGCTGAAAGTCAATCTTCCTCACGCTGATCACCGTGTTGGGGGCCGTCCGGATCGTGTAGGAGCAGGAGCGATCGCCCCTGGGCATGTTGGGGTAGCCAGTCGAGGTTAGCGTTCCAACCTCACTGTCGAAGGTGAAGGAGCAGGCAGCGCGGTATCGCAGCCGGAAGAGACCTGCGCTGGCGTAGAACTTGATCTTGAGGCGATTGGACAGCGAGGTATAGGCCGGCAGATTGGAACCCCTCGCATCCGAGCCGCAAATCTTGGCCTGCAACACGGTCACATTTCCGTCCAGGACATCCAGCACCTCCAGGCAGTCCTGCGGTCCCAGCGTCAGCAGCTCCAACTGAAGGGCAATCAGCTCGCCAAGGGCCAAGCGAATTTCGTACTCGCAGGACATGGGATCGCCTGCGGTGGCATCCTGAGATGCTCCACTCGACCCGGAAATGGTGCCCTCGCGGGCGGTGAAGACACCCCCACAGCCCGGAATCCGCTCTTCCACGGAGTAGTGCAGCTGGAAGCCCGTATCGCTGCCATCCGCATCCGAGTGGAAATGAATCTCCGCCTGGTGGGTGGCCAGTAGCAGCGGCGCCGGCTGTCCACTGCTGCAGTACTTGGCCAGCTGCCGGCCCGATATGGTGTCCTTGATCTGTCCGAGAAGGGAATAGGTGAACCGTCCGAGTGCCAGGCTGAAGGGTCACTTACCTGGACATAATCAAAGTTGCAGTTGTCGTGCCTCTCCAGCTGCAGACTGAAGAAGGTAAGCTTGATGCGCTTGTCGATGGGCGCCAACAGAGTCCACCGGCAGTCGCGATTTTTGGGATAATTACCCGGCGATCCTGGCGAGGCCAGTGTTCCATGTGTCTCAAACTCCACCCGGCCGCCGCACTGCGGCTGCATCGAGGTCCAGGTGAGATCGAAGCCCTCCTTGGCCGTTGAGTTGTCCGAGCGGAACCACAGATACAGCTGGTTGCCGGAGGAGATGATGTTGCCGCCATGCGGCAGATGGTTGCCACAGTAGCGTCCAATGATCTGGGCGGCCGCCGAGCGGCCATCGTTAACCTGCAGCCAGTCGAAGCGGCACTCTGTGGCATCCTCCAAGTCGAAGCTATGGAAGGTCACGTTCACCACCAGCGACTCGTTGGTCCGTATCACCCAGGCGCACTGGGCATTGTGCTCGTAGCCAGTGCCCTCCGGCGGATACTTCAGGCGGCCGCTGGTGCCCACCAGCAGTGCGTTGCAGCTGCTAAAGCGCGTCGAGCAGAGGCGATCCCTGTAGCCGGGCAGGCACTGGCAGACGAAGCCATCGCCGTTGCCCTGGCCGGTTGTGGGCCGACAGCTGCCGCCGTTCTTGCAGGGATTGTTGTCGCAGGGACTGGGGTCTGGCTCGCAGATTGGTGGATGGAAGCCGGTAAGGCACATACAGGTGACGTTCGAGGGTCCCGAGTCCACGCAGATGCCATTGTTCTGCGATTAGCGGGGAATAACGATGAAGCTAATGAAGCCACATTCTGCCATAGAGGTACTTACCAGGCATGGATTGTTCTGACAATTCCTGGCCGTGCCATTGACACAGCCATTAGGACCAATTCCAAAGCCCACCATGCCCGCGGGACAGGCACAGACGGCTGTTCCGGAGATCTCGTAGCAGCTGGCGCCCGGATAGCATAGACTGCGATCCGCACAGTTGCCAATGGTGGCCGGCTTCGAGTCGGATCCGGTTCCGTCAATCAGCCCTGGACCAGGTCCCTGTCGCTCGCACTTGAAACCGTCCCCTGTCCAGCCCAATGGACACTGACCGCAGATATGCGATCCGTATGTGTTGATGCAATCCACACGGGGACTCTGGCTGCAGCCGCCGTTGTTCGTCTGGCACTCGTCCACGTCCCGGCAGCTGACACCGTTCCCAGTCAAGCCGGCGGCACAGGGGGCGCAGGTGAAGCTGCCCGGCAGATTGATGCACTTGGTGGAGCAGGGCGTATGGGCGGCAGACGCCTCATCGCACTCGTCCACATCCACGCCACATACGGGCGTCAATCCGTTGGTCTTCCAGCCGGCATCGCACAGGCACCGATAGCCGGCATCGTCCGAGCTGGGCACACAGGAGCCGTGCCCGCATAGCTCCCAGGCACTGGCCTGCGAGCAGTCCGCCCTCCGTTGGGTGCAGTGCATGCCATGCCAACCCTGCTGGCAGAGGCAGCTGTACGTTCCAAATTGGTTCTGGCACTGGGCTCCATTCTGGCAGCCCAGGTCGGTGCCCTCGTACAAGGCGCACTCGTTCACGTCCACCTCGCATTTGGTGCCCTGAAATGTGATCGAGGATGGAATGGAATAGAATGGAAGCTGGAAAAACTAAAATCACCTCGAAAGCCGGACGACACTGACACCGGAATCCACTATAGGTGTTGTAGCAGGTGCCTCCATTCTCGCAGGGTGCATTCGCACAGCCGTTCGCCTCCAGTTGCGTCTTCATGCGATCCACCTTGTTCTCCACCGCACGGAGTCGCGTCTGGAAGCGTCGCATTAGGGCCAGGGAACCCCGGGTTCTGTACCGAAAATAAAGCCAGATATGTATTATTCTTAGCCTTCTTCCCTCGTCCAACTCCTGTTTCTCACCTGTTCAGCTGCTGACGCAGCATCACATTCAAGCCATTCGGTCCGAATGCCCTCCTCTCGAAATCCGCTAGCTGATATGCCAATTCCCTGACATCCACAATATCCTCGGAGCTGGTCCACTCATCCTTGGCTCCGCCGCCGGATCGTTTCTTTGAACCGCCGCCGGTGGCCAGCAGGAGATCCAGGACATCGTATTCCTCGTTGATGGTCAGACGGGAGGTTCCGGTAAGCCGGAAACTGATGTTACGATTGGCACCGGACTCAAAAATAAGATTGCCATCTTTGCTGATGATTTTTGGCCTGAAGGAAAATAGGTTTGAGGTTACAAAAATCTCTGGAACTTGAATCTATAGTCTTGGGAGCACAGGACCACCCTCCACCAGATACCACGTCAAGCAGTAAGTTGGAAGAAATAAAAAACGTTCTTTTGAATTACAAATTAACCCATTTATAACCCCTTAATGAGTTTCCTTAGTTTTGTTAATATATTATTAATTTATTTAAATGGTAACCAGACCCGAGAGTAAGGACCTTGCTTCTCTGGCTGCTACGGCATATCGGCCAAGGAGGACTATTTCCGAGAGGTCAGTTTACAGTAGTGTATCATGTCTACGGGCAACTGCTCCCAGTTGCCCGAGTCGCAGGCGTATCATATTTCTTGCCGGAACACTTGCGAAGGTACTCCATGAGTTCCAGCTTGTCCCGATCATCCCTCTTCCTTTGCTCTCGTTTCATTCTCTCTTGATAAATGCGCTCAAATTCCTCGTCTACCATGTGGCTTTCTTCCATTAGCTTTATCATCTTCGGATATGACCCCATTGAGGATATATGCAGCTCGGAATACTAGAAGCTCCACTAAACAGGATATGCTTGGTGTCAAAAAGGGGGCCCTCGATATTAATTATAACCATAAATTACCAAATAATTGATTTTTTTTCAGCTAAAAGCGACGACAACGGTACAGTTGAATCATTTTCTAACAAGTAGATGTCACTTTAACTGCATCCCTGACTCTTCTGACAAATTTTCCTTACGGACAGCATAGACCTGGCAGAATGCCAACTCTGATTTTCTGAAGCAACGCTGTACCTCGTGTCAAAAGCAGTTCTTCTCTTTCTATCAAAAGTCAAAAAATGTTCCTTAGTTCACTTGTCTTTCTCCTTTGCAAAAATGAATGGCTTCATATCCCAAGAAGATGAAGCTAGTGGACGACGAGCAGCAGGAGATAGGCGACGTTAAGGAGCATCTTGGCCAGAAATATGATACACCTGTGACCCTGGCCACAGAGGAGAACACAAGCAAGAAGGAGCAGGAGATGACAGGCCTGATGGGCCAACTTGAGCTGATCCCTTGCAAGGAAATCCCATTGTACGATCTGCTGAAGAAGCCAGACGAGAAGGTTCCTCTTGAAGAGTTGCCCACTGTGGGCTTTCCTTACAACTGCAAACACATCCTGAATCCTGACTAGAAGTAGCAATAAATAAGCCAATAACTAAACAATTGCAAAGAATTGTTTTTTGCTTCCCAAGATATATATATTTTTATAGAAATTCTCTATTCTTACGAGTTGACGAAACCCTCGACTCGCAGCCATTTATCCGTAACGAGGAGGAGCCCCAAGCACCACAAGAGTCTGCTGCCAGCAGCTCCTTTCATTGTAATATCACTTCAAAAAAAAAAAACTTGATAACTTAGGACATTGAAACACTTGACAAAAAAATAAAACAGGATATAGGATTCAAACCGATCTGAACCGTTCAGATAGAAAACTCCGACTGTCCGACTCTTGGCAGTCCCTGCATTTCAGATCAACTCAGGGGCGTAGCAAGGGGGGCGTTGCCCAGAGAAAACGCCCATTAAACCAACGTTGGTATCTTCTCGTATCTGCCAAGCTCCGCTTTCCATAAAAAAAAAGACAACACAGACTGCTTTTAAAATCGTACACACATGTATGTATATATATTTTTTATTTTACTTGAATTTTTTGTGTTGAGCTGATTTCTCTCAGCCGATCTCTGCTGGCTTAGGGCGCTAATAATATCTATTACAATAAGTAGCACATAAATTAAGATCGTTTAGCTTAGGGGTTATAGTTCATCGTCTCAAAAAGGTAAAAACTACGGGATAGTACTCATTGGGTCATCTCCACATCCTTCTTTACTTTGCTTAACAAATTTTCTTCTTTTTGTAATAACATACATATATGTATGTATGTATATGTGTGGGAGTAAGTACAGGCTGTGATCTCTCTGCTCTCCATGTGCCAGGTGTGTGGTTAAGTTCAAGTCACAAAAATGCACAAGAAATGTCTAGAAACTCTCAAGGAACTATTATAACTGAATATATGTGTAAGGTTTAAACGGATCAAGGCAGATCCCTAAATTCAGATCCATAAATTTCAGCAAGAAGAAGTGAGCTTAATCAATTAAATGAAATTATTCAAGTTTTACGTTTAAGCTTGATAATTATCATTTGTATTCAATTAAAATGAAAAGTTAAGGCTTTTACAGTGCTCTTGATGGCTCTTGGCTTTGTGTGTTTTTCCCAAATGGAAAATATAGATCATAGTACAAGATGTGTATATAGTGTGTGTGCTTGGTGGTTGGCTAGTCAGTTTTAGTTGGGAATCGCAGTTCTTGGTCTTGTCAAGGTAGGAGAGCGAATTTTGTTACAAAAGGTTCATTGGGCTTCATGGGCTAAATATCTTATATATGTATCTATGGCTTTGTGTTTCTTTTTGGCCATGGAAATAGGAAATATTCAAGGGCTTTTGGCCTGCCTCTCTACATATACTACATATGCTTTAAAATGTAAGTGCTTGAATCACAAAGATGAAATGACTTGTGTTTAGTAGAGTTGCGAGTATAAATAATAAACAAAGGAAAAAAAAACTATTGTAATAATATTACAAATTAGATTAATTACAATATATATATATATGGGGGTAAGGGGTTGGTGGCGCTACACGATATAAATAAATATTAAAAATATACACTCGACAGTTGAACTTTTCGCTTAGAGTCTCCTCCGTCTCCTTTCCTTCCCTTTAGCTCCTCCTCTTGAAATATATATGTATAACTCAAGGTGTTTACAGCCTGCAGCTTCAGTTGGCTGCCTTGGACCGCCTTATGTGCTCCGACTTGTGGTACAGGAATTTGTAGCTTGACTTTTGCTTCTCCGTGTGCTCCGCAAAGGCCTCTTTAAAATGGAAAAACAAACGGTATTAGTTTAAAGTTAATAAATTACAATAAAAATCAAGTACCCACCAAAGGACACATAGCCCAGGTTGTCCGTGTCCAGGGCATAGAAGAGCGCCTGAGCCTTTTGTTCATTCAGCTTGCCGCCAGCGTGCCTCATCAATCGCACAAAGCTCTCCCGGTCAATCCGTTGGCTAGATTCGCTATACAGCTGCAAGTCATAAATATATGAACATTAATTATAAAGGTTACGTTTATCAATGGAAATATGTATATATTACATGGATCAGTGCTCGGAGGAAGGTCATTAGTTCGGAGTTCTTGTATTTGCAGAAGAGGGAGCAGAGCAGGAAGCTCTTCAGGCTCACCGCACCCATGCGGCGCTAAAAGTAGAGGCGGGGAGACACATTTTGGTTATATACTCTGGGTTGCGCCAATTAGAGGGAGATGGCGGGGTCTGCAACTCACGTGATCGAGCAGGGCAAAGAGCTTGTGCAGATTGGGATTTTTGAGATCAATCTGGAGAAGCTCGGCAAAGGTTATTATGTCCAATCTGTCCGTATTGGACAGCCGGTGATAGCTCTGGCACAGCTCGGCATCGCGCTGGCTCTCGATCAGCCCCAGCCTCTCGATGGTCCGCTCAATCTCCACAATGTCGCCGGGGAAGGGGATCTTCATGTCACGGGCTCGACTCATAACGATCACATCCTCAAAGGAATAGTCCGATGTGGGCACGCCCAAAGCCCTAAAAAAATAGGGGGGGGGAGGGTTAATTATGATAATAATGATATTTTAACCCAGTTTGTTATTTTTTTTTTTTTGTCTTGATTTATAAATAGCCTATTTGCTTCCCATTTCTAGAAAAATAGCTAGCCTGCTCTACTTACTTGGCCATCACCTCGCGCACATTGTTGGCATACAGATTGGCATCGGCCACTTCATCCGGCGAGGGCGTATACACGGGCAAGTATTCAATTTCGCATCGATTGTAGAACTGCGTCATTGTCAGCCAAAGAAGGCGCAATCTGAAATGTTGTGGATACAATAAATATTACATAAATAAGCAAGAAAAGTATGTAATTAAATTCAGATATTTCCGAGAATGGAAACCCCATAAACCCTGACCATAAACCCCTTTTATGTGTCCCTCTACTCACACTCCAGGTCCGTCCCAAGTCCAAGTAAACGTATCGTATTTGTTGGGATATTTTAAGAGCACTGGCTGTACCGGTACTCCCGGATAGAAGGCGCCGGGCTTGAACTTGATCAGAGCTGTGCGATTGGTGCAGGTGCCTTCGGCAAAGATGACCACCTGCGGCCAATCATCTGTGGAGCGAGCACGGGCCACAATGTCCCGGATAGTGTTCTGCCGCGAATTGGGATCCTCACGCTGCACATAAATGGGCTGGGCATAGTTGATGATGCGACCCAGCAATGGTATATCCGCCGTCTCCCGCTTGGCCACTATCGAGGGCGGGCCACTGGCCACGACCAGGATGGAGTCCACGTAGGAGGAGTGCGGCGCCACCACCAGTATGGGTGCCTCTTTCGGCGTTGCCGCTCTACCCTTCATGCTCACATAGTGGAACGATCCCGAGGTATACACCATGCGCATGGCACGTGCCGTCATATATTGCATTTGTCTGTAATGGAAGGTAAGTGGAATAATGGGTATTAGGTAAATATATATACTTACTTCCGCCAGCCGGTGAGGGGTTTCTCCTTGAGATCATCCAGGGTCATGCCATAGAGACCGATGCAGGCAAACATCCAGGCGGAAATCAGGGATAAGACGCAGCCCACCACACGAATGGGCAGCAGCAGTACTGTCAGCACATAGACCTACAAAGGATTTTGGAGAAAATAATCAGAAATTAGCAATGGGTTAAACAAGAAAGGGAACTAACTTTGGGAAGCCGAAGTTGGTATACCCTTGCAAAATCAAAAATCGATCCTAACTGAAGTAAAAATAAGTTAAATTCAATTCAGAAAACATTTCTTTGTTAGTTTTTTGTAGGTTAACAAATCTGCATGCTCAATTTTAAATTACAAAAAATTAAAATTTTTGTCAATTTTTGATAATTTTAACGCCTTTTAAAATTTTGTAGAAATTAAAATATTTATTTTCTCCCCGAAACGTCTAGAAAGACTCCCCAGTTAATGCTGATTAAGAATATATATACTTTATAGGGTCGGAAATGAGTCCTTCACTTACTAAAATAATAATACCCTTTAAAAATGTGTTACATGTATAGCTAAAAACTAAGTTTAGTAAATTATAATAATTAACTTCTGTAAAAAAAAAAAAACCCTTTAATAATTCTGTAAACTTTGTAATGGCCTTAAATACTTTATGGTTATTTACGTTACTCTTAAACGTATATACATATACATATATTATATTTATTAGACACACGCCAATTATTCACACGTCTTTCGAATTTGACTTGAGGCTTAAAGGTTTTTTCAGAAGCAAATGTAAATAAATATTAGTACTAGAAAATAAGTAACAACATTTAAGGGGGCTATAATAAAATATGACAGAGCCAAGGTGAGAAGCCCAACCACGTGCCAATTCCTAAATCCCAACGATTATCACGCCTTAACAACAATCCCAAATCGATATCCCATTGCCATTCAGGAATTTGGCATTAATTCATGCAAACACGGCCGCATATTAAATAATAATAGACGACCCCCACAAATCAATTAGCCGGCAAACATTCGCCATGTTTACAAACGGGGCCAGACCGGGCATAAATCGCTGATAGTGGCTGCTCTCATGCTTATCAGTCAAGTGGTGGCCTGCCGGGAAACGCATTGAACTTTGCCTGTCGATCTCACACAGACCCCTCTTGATTTTATCAAATTCCAAGGCAATACAACACTTCGATACGCCCCAATGTCTAAGCGGATTAATGGGGTTGAGAGAGCCCTATTTAACTTAATTAAGCAATGGCAAACATTTATAATTCCCTTAAATTTTTAAGTTGCTTGTGACAAGGGTTTATCTTTAAAACATTCCAAAGATTTCCGTTTCTATTTATATCAGCACATCCAATTCAAATTTTTATAAATGTTTGTCCAAGTATAACTTGTTATACATATGTTTTAAAAAACAGCAGTGATCATAATAATAGGAGCTAAAACAATTATATAATATTGTTATGCCAAAAGTTTAATGATCAAACTAAACAATGTCAAGCGTTATTTTTATTCGATTTTTGCTAAATTTCTTTTTATATATTTATTTAATTGTAAAATTTATATAAACAAAAATGTTTTTATTTATCATTACCCCTACAAATCAATTTGATTTATTTTAAAATCACTTAAAATATTTTTTAATTTATAAATCTGTCTAAAAATGTTTTCTTAATATTTTAAAATCGAACAAAAAAATCTCAATAAGTACTAACAACTTGAAGGCAACTGTGGTCAGAGATATGACCAAAGTGGCTGCATATTTACTAAGAGAGAGCAGAGGAGCAGTAGGCAGCAACAATGTCAGGGCCAGTTGAGAGCCTTGAACTTTGGATGGAAGCGAAATGAAAGCGAAACTGGTTTTTGTGTGCAGTGCACGCAATGGGAATCCCCTCACTCGACCCAGGCCCCCCCACCAAAGCCACATTTTTTCAGCTGCGCTTCTCTTGCCGCTTCGAGTTTATTTAATATTTAAATACTTTCAGTGGGTCAATGGATCAATGAATGCGATTGACTTCCTTGTCATCGGCTGATCATTTAGGTGCATTGTTGGTTCGATTTTTTAAATGGGAATTTCTTTTATAAACCAACAAGGGTTTCTATTGTAATTCCTTACATAAGGTTTAAGAATTACTATCTAATCTCACATTGATATTCTTCTTAAACAAAATAATATTCTTAAAGCCTTTCTTTGTATTATATTGAAATGAAATATATGTACATTGAATTTCCGCTTAATCGTAGGTTTTGTATTATTACCTCATCGCCAGCAACACTCAGTAACTTATTCGAGACTTTGAGACTTGACTCAGCGATAGCGCCCAGTGTCAATTCTGATTGCACGAGTATTTCTATATTTATTTGTTTACTTCTTGAGATTGCTGCAGGGGCGCTCACTCTCTCAAATGTAGGTTAGTCTACCCTAGAGATGCACTCAAATCACTTTCGTTCTTAATATATATTTATAGAAAATCCCAAGAAATCCCTTGACCAATAAGTAAAAAAACCTATTTAAATCACGCCACAAACGGGGCACAGTTGCAATGAGTCACAATCGGTCAGGCCCAGGCCATTTATCATGCATGCGGAGAAAGCTCTCTATACACAGACTTGACTTTTAATTATAAAATTATGGGCATTATTTCACTTAATTGATATCAATGTGTCGCAGTGATAGGAAAATTAATTGATTTTCTATAAGTATGTATGCCAGTGACTAATAATGTATCTTTGATGTAATTTGGTATTTGATATATCTTTTCATTTATTTTATTCAACTCTTTAAATTAAGAGTACCTAAAGGTCTTATTATCATTTTTTCAAGTGCATCTATTAACCATAATTAGATCATTTCCTGGGTAAATCTCCATTGAACGAACCGTAAACAAAACACAACACATGTATTGCTTTTTGTTTACCAATGTGTTATTTTTCACTCGCGGCAATTAGAGCCAAGTAATATATAGTATGTATATTGAAAAAAGGGGGTTGGGTTCGGGCTTGGGTAAATTTAGCCATTAGCCCACGTGTGTATTTTTATGGGGCGCTTAAAAAACAATAAAGCCACCGACGCTGCACTGGGACGTCGAGGTAAATCGATGCACTGCTACATTTATATATATACTTAAATATATGTACATATATGGGGAGTGGGGGGAGTAATGCCGTTGAACTGTACTTTCGTTCTTTGGAACCCAAAAGTTGGCTCATGTGTCAAAAAGCCGAAGCAGTTAAAAATGAGCGAAATGTGAAGTGAACAGTCAACACACAAGACTGACTATAAAGATACCCGGTAATCTAATGGTTATTACCTGTAGTAAAGCCGAGATCTTTTGTGATTCCTAGCTGTCATATTTCATATTTCTTGGGTACAGAATGATACCTTTTTTTTATGTTAATAGATCTTTTAAAAAAGCTAGGAATTAAATTGCTAGTTTTAAGTAATTAGGTTTAAAATACAAGTGCTTGGAAAATATATTTAAATTTAATTTAAAAATCGTATAAATACTATCAATTACTAAGACGTTGATTTGTGGATTTTACAAGTCGAGCTTTAAGATCTTTACCCTCAAAGTAAATTGATATATAAAATACAAATAAACATAATTTGTTAAATATATATGTAATTTCCAATCTTGGTATGGATGGTTTGGATTTATCCCCTATATACCCACAGCCGCCGTCTCTTTTACACACACTCCTAGACCCATTGTGCAAGGCGGATGGGAAAGCAACGGGAACAAAGCGGAACAAGACACCGATTGACTGGGTGAGTGGAAGCGAGAGAGGGCAAAACAATGGCACACATGCCAAAAGAACCGGCGTATTTTTTTTTTTTTTTTTTTTGCTTTTCGTATTTTGCTTCGCAGCAGCAGCAACAACAACAATGGCTATAGTGGGGCGTAACAACAACAAGGCGAACAAGAAAATCATACGATTCTCGCTGCCGTTAGCAAAACGCTGACGTAGGCAGAGACGTCGACAGCGCCAGATAAAAAAAGGAGGAAGAAGCAGTGGAAGACAACAACAACAACAACAAAAACATAAGTAAACCATGCGAAAAAGAATAAGAAGCAGCAAGCAAATGTAACGGCATATTCATGTCAAGTGCAATGCGAAGGAGAGAGAGGCCCCAAGAGAAAGCACTCTCTCACTCTCTCTCCAGTGGAGATCGCACATGGGCTGGATTTGCATGAATGAATGCAAATGGAGGGAGGCGGGGGGCATGGCACACACTCACCTTGGCCACCTCAATGTGACTGTCGATTTCGATGCGATGGACGAACGGATTGATGTAATTGTAGCCTTTGGAGGCCCACGTATCCTCTTCGGAGTCGCGCTTCGTCAAACTGGCGGCAGCGGCGGCGGCCACTCCCACATCGCCGGCCATGCCCATTCCCAGGTCGTCCCGCACCACCCCTTTTCCCACGGGCGGTACATCTTCGCTGCCCGCAGGCTTAATTGTCGACGTTGTCATTCTCCGCTCTTTCCTCGCGCCGCCTTTCTTTACGCACTCTTTCACTACCTCGCACTCCCGCACAGCAGCCACAAGAAAATAATAATAACTGAATTAATAACAAAAAACGCTTTTCCGCAACGTATTAAGTAGTTCCTTGTTTTAGCGCGGCCCAATGGCTTTTATTCAAATGCTTGACTTGCAAACAAATGGTTTTTATATATGTACGCGTGCAAAAGCTGGCAACCACAACCGCCGCGCATAAATATACATTTTATAAACTTTAGTTATAACAACAACAAATTGCGTTGTTAGAGGTGCACAAACATGTTACTATCGATACTATCGTTGAATTTAAACGCTTTTTAATATCGATATTGTAAGCTTGAAGGTAGAAAAAGTGGAAATGCCGACCATGCAAAAAGGTGGGAGACTTAGCTTAGTTTTCAAATTATGTGGAATAAATGTGCATATTTCTTGAAAATGTTGTACGTATTTAATTATATTTTATTCTATAATTTTATTTACCTCTTTTCTATCTTTGCTTTATTTATGTTTATAAACTTTGGTTGGTTTAATTATCGATGTATTCAAACAATCGAATATTTAAAATTTTAAGGCTAGTAATCCATCTGGCAGCCCTGCCAAGCGCGCGCTTCCGATTTTAAATTCAATATCAAGATCTACTTTCACGTGCTTTTCGGAGCGGCATCGCGCCACTTGCTTTGTTTTTTTTACGATTTTAATGACGCCGCCTAATCTGGCAGCAGCAGTTCACGGCCCCGCCATCGTCGCATGTGTCGGAAACGTGTTTCGGTTGTTTTTGCCCAAAAATCAAACCTTGCGATCGAAAATGAAAACGTTTCCAAGGCAAAATACATCTCTAGTTGTCCGATTTCTAGGCGTCTGGGTCTGGGCCTTTATCAGCGACTTGGAACCAGTTTTGTTCCCTTGCGTCTCGGCTTTGTTGTTATTTTTAGTTTTAAGATAAAAAGCAAACAAGTTTCGTGATGTGGATGATGATGATCACTTGCAATCTTTTTTTGAGGGCGGCGCCGCATTAACTGTTATACGATCGCGAGCGCCTTTGACCTTGACTGAAGTTTATTCGCTGCCCATTTCCCCCTCCCCCCATTGACCTTGCCCAACAACTCTCGTCGAGCGAGGGAAAAATTTCCAGAGGAACCCGTGCCCTCCCCTCGCAGAACCAGCCAACCGCTTCGAAGGCCAAACGAGCGGATTTTTAATGACAACCACAAGCGGCGCATTATAATAAATGGAATTCTCTCATTTATACTTATTTTAGTTTTTGCCATTTGTATTATTCTTCGAAATCTGCGTTGAGAGTTGAGTGATTTTTATTGTGATTTCCCCTTATTCTAATATTTTATAATAAGTCTTTTCCATAATTTAACTAAACAAGAAAATCAAAATTTAAAAGTTATATTTATCTATTTATAGTTATTTTTGTTAAGCTTAAGTATTTTTGTGTTTGTTATCAAATATCCAACTATTTTTAATACAAAAGACATATTTTATGACTATGTCTGTCGTTTTTGTTGTTACAATAATAATTCATTTGTATTTATTATAGTGGGATTTGTATAGGTGCGTAAGCATGTGCTTTTTTGTTTTTTGCTTTATTTTTGATATAGATTTTGTCGGTGAATTTCTACATTTTTTGTGGGGTTTTTGTCGCTACTTTTGCTTTTTTAATCTCTTTTGCCATTTCTATATGTGATTCTTGTCGTTATTTTCTCTGTCTGAATTTTTCCGCCTTTTTGTTTCATAGCGTCACGTGAAGTTATTTACAGTTGCCAAAAACGTATTATAATTAATGACTTTTGTTTATAAAACGAAGGCCGGCGGGACTTTTTGGTGGGCGTTTGATTTTCGCAGATTTTCACAAATTTTCCACGCGGTTTCGTGGGCTGCATTGACCTCTCAATACAAGAGCGGGAGAGCAAAAGAGAGAGCCAGCAGGCTACGTCATCATCATTGACGTCACAAAACAGAGTAGAGCCGAAGAATATCTTACGATAAAATGCTGTAAGAAGAAATCGATTATTTTGTATATACAAGCGAGCCATGAGCAAGCGCACACGGGCAAACCCCCACACATATATGTATTTACGCACACACATACACTCTGCGCCATCGTTGTGTGCGTGCCATGGGGCGAGCCCCCAAAACTGGATTCCCAAAAGCGGACTACAAAAAGTACGATACGCCGCAGCGCAGCAGCAGCGACGCCGACGGCAGCCAACGGGTATAACAGCTGAAGGTGACACGGGAGGACAGCGAGAGGACATAGTATAACGGTTTACGATGCCCACAACTTTGGCTGACGAAATCCAGAGGAATTCAAGGCGTGGTAGTAAAGGAAAGGAATGGAACGGTGCAAGTCCTGCTGAACAGCAACCGGAGCAACCTGCCTCTCTCCACCTTCTCACAGAACCCCAAACTGTGGAACCACTTAAATTTTTCATTTCAGAAATTCTGTTAACAGTGGGGAATTACAGAGGAGAACCTGATTTTTGCATCAGTAAGGGGAACTTCCTTGCAAATTTCATCATGCTGTAATATGATGCTTATTACTTCCCAAATTAAAATCTGTTTCGTTATTTTTTCCACAATATATTTATAAATGTAAGATCTCATTAATAAAATTAATTAATTTAAAGTCAATTACTCATTGTAAGCTCAATTTTGTTTATTCTCCAATACCTCAGGCCCTTAAACAAAGGTCTGCCAAAGTTCAATGGGTTTTGCTATTGTGTTTTTTATAATATCGGTAATTTTTGTCCCATAACCATTAAATATTCCTTTGTCTGTTTTAATTTTTTGTATTTGTATTTTTCCCAATCATTCACAAACGAAGTGTAGCTGCACTTGAAATATGATGCGTCGTGGCTCAGCTGTCATCCATTGCTCATTTTCCAAAACGCTGAATCATGGTGCCAATGCACCAATTGTGTGGTCTTATCACACACATGTATCAGATATGTATCCCAAAAAAAAAAAATATAAATATATATACCATCGAAAATATGCGATTACTATAGAAACCAGTTTGGTTTTTGGGAAATTCGCAGCCACTTAACACCTTTTTTTTATGCCTTTTATCGTTTCACAATTTCCAAAGAAACCAATATATCTTGCTTGCTTTTATTTAAAGTAATTTTATATGAGAATGAGCTTAAGTTTTAAGTAAAGTCAGATGGGCATTAGAGGTCTTAACGATCCATCACTGTTAAGTCTTGAAATCAATTGCCACGCCTTCATCCGGGCCCCCACATCTCAAGTGTCTTGGCCCCCGAAACACCTTGTTCTTCCTCCCTCGATGTTATTTCGCATTTTGATAAAGCAATTTCCGTGGCTGAAGATAACAAAGTCCAAGTGGAAAAGAAACAACAACGGCGACGGCAACTACTACCACTCCTAGGTCCCGTTTGCCATTATAATAATGTACTTGGAGTACTTTATACACCTTTGTCCGGGTGTCATGGGTTCAAAAAGTAGTTTGCAGTCAAAGAAATTTATTTATAGCCTCATTATTCATCCAATATTAAAGTGCTATATTTTATATCAGTCTCAGGAACTTTATTTCTAAAGGAATTAAACTTGAGTCATGATTTTAAGGGTCGAATGCAATATATCGGGTAATATAAGTCTCTTCCAGGGTATTTAAAGCTTCGATTTGAGGATCGGACTTAACTATCTGTATTTTTTTTGTTTGTATGTGGTTTGATTGTCGTCGGTGTGTGTGTTCCTGAGTAACGGAACGTGTAACCGAGCCAGATAAACAATTAATCAATTCTGTCGCACTGCAAAAACATACTCCTACACACAATACATATAGAAAGCGACACTCCCCGCCAGCAGAAAACTTCTTGAAGACTTCAAAAAGTCACTGAATTTTTAATGCACTTTGCACTTTGTGATTTTGGGGGCTTTATTTATTTTTGGAGCTTTATGGCCGACAACTGGCGTAAAAGCCTAATGGATTTTTTTTTTGCAAAATTATTTCGCAACACACGTGCGCCGCACTGAGAGTGGGAGTCAGTCACCCACCAGGCAGACAGAGCGGGAGAGGAAGTTGTCGTCGTTGAGTTGTAGTTGTAGTTGTTGCTTTGCCCCCAGACGTCATCGCCCTCTCACTATTTCCCCTTTCTGTCTGCCAAGGGGGCGTGTGAGTGAATGGAATAATCGTGTTTGTGTACAGGAGAGCCCAAGGCATTAGTGAAGCCTTAAAAAATATTAGGAATAAATAAATCCTTTGTTATTGAGCTCTTTTTTCATGAAATAATGATTACTATTGATGTATTCCTCATACCTTACTTTGCTTATTCTTTACTTATAAACTGACTGGAGTTAATCATTCTTGATCTAATATACTGTTTACTATTTCCATTGTTACACCTTCCTTATAATTATGTAATTATCATTATTTTATTTAATAAACATATGTACATACATTTTAACTGGTCAATACATTTCTAATATGTAAATATTACTATTATTATTTCCTCAGCTGTTAATGTCTGGTCTTGTATAACAGTTATGAGGCCACATAAATAAGATTGTATATATGTATGTATGTACACACATGTACATAGATATACACAAATGTACATGTGCACACTCACTTTTAGTTCGCTTTGAATGTTGTTGCTGCAATTGCGGACGAGCCTCTTTGGACAGAAAAAAAATATGGAAAAAAGACCAAAGACCAAAACCAGTATGCAAGAATGCTGCAGCCGAGTGAAATGGCAAATGCAATCTGCTTGCAAAAATACGAAAACCCAATAGGCAACAACAACAAAATTCCATTGAACTGGCCCCACCGGATGGCAGAGGGGGAGGGAAAGAGCGTAAGCTTCGAGCTCCATGGCACGTACACAGACACACACACACACACTCACCAATTGACTCACCAAAAGAGGGGGCGGGTATGAAAGGGGGGCGGGGCAGCTGACGAGCCCCACGGACATCCAAAGGCAAAGTAAAAAGAAACGAAAAAAAAGCGATAAACGGGAAAAAGCCAAGGCGAGGATGTTGACGCGTCGCCTGAATTCAAGAATTCCAACAAATGGAAATAGGCAAAGAGGAGCGATGGGTGAGGGGGAGGCAACAGCTAAGCAAACCAAACTCGTTCTCCCATTTGTTAAGTAAACTGAGCACGCCGCTTTTCAGCTGTACTGGAACTGTTATACTGATACCGCAAGAGAGCTGAACTCGCGAGCTCTGCTCAGGGCGTTATGGAGCGCCGGGCAGTGGGGGAAGTTCAGGGGTTCAAGGAACGAAGCCTACGCAGCCAA